GAAAGAAGTCACATCTTTGTGTTTGGATTGATTTTTCTTCAATTTAATTAGCTCAATTATTTTCTAGACCCACAAAAACTTCCAATATTACCCCACATTATACATTGTGGAGAAGACCACTGTCATGCACTTGTTTGGAAATTGCAAGGCAATAGTTGCAATGGATGATCCAATTTGCATTTTGAAACAGTTAAAAAGTCTCTATTTCCTTCATTATTTGAAAGATTGCTACTGTATTCCCCTCACAGTTGCCTTTCATGCAGGCTGAGAATTTCTAATATGGTCCTTCAGTGAAAAACCTTTTTCTTCCACCCATATTATTTGGAGTTGATATATCTTCTTTGGAGAGGAGTAGAACTGCACACAGATAAACGAGAGATTATACACAGCATAATAGTGTTTTCTCTTTGTCTATCCCTTTCCTAATCATTTGTAACAACTTGGTTTTTAGACCTCCTTAAAACCTTTTAAAAATTATGTCAGCTTAGCTACTTTAAAATCGGTGGTATGCAAGCCAGAAGCTATTTATCAGTCACTTTTCAGCTATTTCACCTTTGAATTCCTGGTGCACTGCATGTGGAGATTTATGCTTTATTTATTCAATAAGATCTGCTACTGGCATTTCATTTAAAACAGACAATCTGCTATTCTCCACAAGGAACAATCCAGAATGAGAATAACCTATAACAACTCCATGGTGAACAAAGATTATAAAATATGCATTTTTCTGTTACTATTTTATGTTCTGAGAAAACAAGTGAAAAAATATTTTTAATTGAACTCAATAACTGCACTGAAGTGCACATCCAATTCTAAATAGCTTTTCCCCTAAAATTTATACACCCTCTAATTGTTCTAACATCCACAGTTGACTGATACAGATCCCCAGCTCTGTTAATTTTTAAGACAGTAACACATAGTGCTAAACTGGGGCAGTGAATTATCTGCTGCTCACAACTGTCCCCTTGAACTCAGCCATTCAAACTGAGCATAAAATTTGGCTACATTTCCAGAGCTTGTTTTGAAATCCTTAAGATTCATAACCAGTTAATTCTGCCAGTTAAACATTACTGCAAGAGTGCAGTGTAACTCTACAAATACAGAGGTCTGATTGAAATTTCCACATCTAATAGGATTAATTATAAAATGTTGCTTGCTTTCAGAGTCCACAGTTTTATTTCTGAGCTTGTCCAGAATCCTTAATCCTTAACAGAAATTAAAGAAACTATTTTGATGGTTGAAACTAAGTGACAAGTATGCTGGTGCTGGAAACTTTTCCTGCTATATTTACTGAAGAGCAACATCTGGGGTTTTTTAAGGATGAAAAATGCACTGATGTTGAACATCTGAAACAGATGTTAACACGACACAAAAAGAAATGCTTTGAAATGCCCTTCAAAACAGCATTACAAATCTACATTAAATTTAAAAACATAAAATTAAATTTTAAAAAGGAAGCACAGTAAGAAAACTCCTGAAGGAGTCTATTCTTATCCTGTCCAGGTCAGGCCCTCTTGATATGCAAATTAACATGTCATTAATTTTCCTGGTTTACGAAGCACAAGTGCAAAATTGGCATTGATTTTGAAGAGGAACAGCAACCCATATTTATTTCTCTAATTCTTATATTCTTCAGAAGCTTTTTGAAGTCCATGAAAACAGATAACAGACACTGTGGAGCTGATAGGTTCATAATTTTCCAAACCACTTGAGATGCTCTGCAATTGTTTCCACCCTCTTGTGGCCATTTCCAAGGCAGGTGGGTATGTACACAGTAGTGTATTTTCTGCTACAAAACACCTATTTATAAGCAAAATGCACAGAAGAGGCACAACAACTCTAAAGTGCATCAACAGTAAGTGTGACATAGCAAGTCTCCCCTTGGCATAGTCCTGCTCTCTCCACCAAGTGAAGTGCTCCAGAGACACACAATTGCAAATCAGCAAAGGGTAACAACGTGGCTCATCAGAGAGAAGGACAATCTCTTCAGCTTTCTAATAATAGCAAATGCAGAAGAGATCAAGCTATCTCAGAAATACACTCCCACTACCTCTAAAAAAGCAATGGCCAAAGCTCATGCCCTTTTGTAGCACCCTCATCTAGTAGCAGCATCTTACCTTGATAGTATCACATGTATGATCTGATTTTCAGTTGGGTTAAGCATCTGAGGACTAATTCCTAATTAGATTTAAGTACAGTCATACGTATTTAGCAAATCTAAAAATCATGCTTAACCAAACCAAATTTTCAAACTTTGCCTGTTCCAGCTGGCACACTTTAGCTTTCTCCAAAGTTCATTTGATGTCTTTTCCTCAGCATTACAAGCACAACCAAGAGCCATTTTTCACATCTGTTCACTCAAGTTCCCCAGAGAAATGTGAACTCCAAAAGGTATTGGTAATAATCTCACTCACACCAACATTCTGCAATATTGCTACTTTCCTTTATATTATAGAGTCCTTTCTCATGTGGCTGATACAAAGAGCTATACACGTATTTTAATTTTCTGCCACTGGAGAAATAAATTTTAAGGCAGTAAAAATAATGTTTATTATAAAAAAAGCGACTCTCAGAAATTAGCTCAATCATTTATCCTAATTGGACTCCCAGTCTGGGTCTGTTTAGGACAGACTGGTAGCCTGGTAACAACAACTTCCACATGGAATCAAAGTGTCTGTAATGAGGAGCACACATTTTAGCAGAGATTTAAGAAGACAAATGCACAGTGCTGTTATTGAAGCTACTCTGAATTTTTCTAAATTAATTCTTCGCTGGTCACTATATAATGTAAAATATATGTTCAGCAAGCACACAACTATATAATTGATCAAAGAGGTGGCACTCATTCCAAATGTTTCATCACAGTTGTAGAAGTCTATTTGGGAAAATACTTCTTTTGCACATGCACAGGGGCAGTGACACTCCTGTTACTGAGACCAAAAACTGGCAGGAATGATATTCATGTATTCTTACACAAGGAAAGAGCTCAACAGGTGCCATGACCAAAGTTTAACAAGAATTATAGAAGTTTTAAGTCACTGCTACAGATAACTCCTGCTTGCTTATTCTCCTAATTATTAAAAAAGAAAGTACAACGGTTTACTGGAAAAATTCTATCATATCCTGTGCTGTTCTGTAACTGAAGACAAACTAGTCTGACTACAATCTATGTTCTAGACAACAATATTTAACTTTTCACTTTAAAAAAAAAATCTGTAAACTGATAGTGTGAAAAGACAATGAATGGAACATATTCAGAAGAACTTGTACATTTTTCAAATACACCAATAAACAGAATTTTGCATACCATGAATGCCCAACATTACAAGTTCATATTGTAGACATATAAAACTAATAAAATTCTCAAAATTGCCTTTTTGTAGATTCAGAATTTTCCATCTTTTCAATATTTCTATATTTTCTTTCCTTTTTTCCTGTTCTCAAGAGCTTAGTCCTCAATTACAAGTTCTTTGTTTTCCATGAAAGACAAGCGACATCTAACTCTCTACTCACTTCAGAAGATTTTTGGGTAAAGTTCTGAACCTCCTTCAAATTGGGAAGCTTGATTTATCTCAACATTTCCCTTCTGAATGTGCAGAACACCTACAGCAGATATGAATTCTGCACACTTTGCAGGCTTTCACAATCCCACTTGTACAGTGATGTCCAGTCAAACTGCATGACAAATACTAAACTCTTTAGTAACCTAATCTGAAACCAAGTTACAAGTAAAATTAAAAAATCATTAAATTCTTCACAAAATTCACAGAATGGATAAGGTTGGAAGTGACCACAGCGGACCATCTGGTCCACCCCCAGCTCAAGCAGGATGAAAAACAACACAGAGCAACTTAAGAAAGAAGCAGCAGAAACCAGAGCTCTTCTGGTGGACATGGAGCTGCAACATCATTAGAGTAACAGGTGGGGTGAGATCTCAATGCTTTTAAGAATGTCTGTGTTGGCAGACTTGTGTCTGGGTTTGAGAATCTGTAGCCAGTGACAGCAGAGTGGAGAAATATGTGAAAGACAGAAAGACAAAAATATTACACTTGTCAACAAGTTAGGTTTTCACACACCTGTGCATCTCAATTTGATTGATTATTCAGTGCTTTTGAACAAATTACTAACTGTTCCCATCCTGGTGGCTTTTCTTTCCATTACCTCAAGTCTTATTTTTCATTGTCTTTTACTGGCCAAAAGGTGGGTGTTTTCCTGTATTTTATAACTACCTGCCAACACTTCATAAATTATTCAAAATTCTACAAAAAAAACATCATTCAGAGTGAGAGGAATGTTAACAAGCTTCAGCAATCTTGTTCAGAACTAAGTACATGTGGCTGAAACAAAAGTGGAGAAATTCTGCAGCTGCTAACAATCCACAAATAAATGCAAATAGCCTAGTATAGCACATGAGAGAGTGTTTGAAGCTCACCCTGCCATTCTATCCATGGAGGGGTCACTGCTCTGAAACCAAGAATCCAGGAATCAAGGAACAGTATAAAATTTCAATGCTTCAGCTACAAGTCAGGCTGGAGCAAAAACCCCTAAATTCAAACCTGCCTGAGGCAGAACGCAATGTGAACATGTTCAATAACACACAGTGAAGAATTGTTTCATTATTCAAGATGTTTTCAAGTGAGCTACTGCAGTAAACCACATCTGTCTGTCAAGCAACAATTCTGGTCATTGTTATCCCCAAAACTGAAGTAAAACATGTACATGCATACTGAAGAAGGCTTTACTGATTAATATTGAATTGTTACACTCCCTGACCAATGGAGTCATCTTATTAGCATGCTTTTAAAGTATTAAACTACTACAAGTCAACCCCCAAAATATGCTATTTGAATAATCAACACAATCCTATGGATGAATATATATGAAGTTACTGCTCATTAGCTGATCTCTAATGAAATTATACACAGAGCTTTAAATTATTAAAACGTGCTACTTCAGTCAGAAACTTCTACACAAAATCCGTGTTCAGCTGGTTCACTTACCTGGTAAACATGGAATGCATTGGCAGCTTTTCCACGCAGGAAGACTGAGGGAATCCAAACATTAATAAGAGCACGATTTGATCTGAGGAGGAGAGAGAAAAACTTCAAATAGGGAATGATATTTATGTATAAGAATTGCAAAGCAACTACATGCAGTGATTTAGATAATGATCAAAGTGATCAATAAAGTAACTTAAAATTTCAAATGAAGTAACAGAAAAATTGGAGTTCTGCCTGAACTTTTTTTATGTTCTGAATCTAAAAATGTTCCCTAAAATTAACCCAACTGAAACAATTCCTTCTGCAGGTTTTCTGGGGTTTGGCGGTTTTTTTCACAGCATGCATTTGACAACATTTGATTATACACATGAAGCAAAAATTATTCACTTCAACAAATTCAACATTTTCAGCCATAAACCTCAGGTGAAGTTCATTAAATAACAGAAGAGCAGTGCACAATTATGCAGAAGCCATTTCCATCCACTCTTTGTTATCCATCTCTAAATTTCTATTATTCAAACATACCAGCTACATTTTCAACCCCTCATCCACAAAAGCAAGATTCATTAGTTTGACTACTAAAGGTAAAATTCAGATCACAACACTCCAGAATGATCTGGGGTGGGTTCTTAGTGAGGGTTTTGGGGTTTTTTTAAGGAGCTATTTATTTGGGGGTGTCTTTAAGGAGGTGATTAGGAGCTATTCTGTAAAATGAGGAAGGCCATCACAGGATGAAGAGCAACCAGCACCCATCAAACCCAAAGCACTAAAACCAGAAACTTCTTGGTGCTTTGGCAGAATACCAAGACCTAGGGCACTTAAAAAGCACTCCAATGGACTCTTCCTTAATCTAAACTCTTTGAGTTCAGCATTATTAACTACACTGTGGACTGTGCAGCTCTCCATGCTTTTTAACGATGGAACACCACAGCTAAGAATGCAGTTACTGGAAATAATAGAGGAAAAGTAAATTATTTAATTTCTCTGCTTATTCTCCTTTCCCAGAGATTGTATGAAGAGAAAAATTTGTGAATTATGAAACTTACATTTCAAAATCTGATAAACTCTGATCTTCAGATGTTTGACTTAAATCTCCAGGGACCTTTATTTACAAAACAGAAATAATTTCCACACAGTGGCTATTATGTTTTCAATTAAGAAAGCATAATATTATAAGGAAATTACAATTCAACATTCAATTTTATAAATGCCAATAAAAACTCTTACTGACAAGCAATAAAAGAAAAACAAAATCCTGGAAGAAGATTGTGAACATATCACCCTTGTGAGTCCTTTATGTTAGAATTTGCCACAGTTCTGTAAAGAAACAAATTGGGGTTTGTAAAAGCATGTAATTTTGAAATTTATAGAAAATGCAGGGAAGAGCATCACTATTAGGGCTTTATGAGCAAAGGATGCTATAACAAGGTACTTTGTGTGTATAGGCAACTTATGGGAAAAGAGGAAGCACATAAAACCTACTGATCACTTTTTTTACAACCAATATTCCATTAAGGGAAGGACACAAGAGCATTTTATTTCAGCTCTGCTCTTACAAAACATTACATAAGTACAAAAGTTCATAATGATGCAATGATGGACTAATACCTGTAGAACCAAAGGAAGTAGCAGTTGTTAGAAAACCAGATTGCAAGAGCATTTAGAACAAAACAGATATAGCTTTTTACCTTACTTTACAGCTACAGTAAACATAAAAGGGTATCTTCTTTCCTTTAAAAAGAAATTGTAAAATTGAAAGCATAATCTGGAATAGTTAAGAGGAACGGAATTGTTCAAAGCCAATTGTTCACAGATCTGTTATTTCTTACAAGCTAATGGATATTTCATCATGAGCAGCATGTTTGAGCCTGTTCCAGAGGGATATTCTACAGTGCAATAAACAAACACTCACCGGCCCTCTCAGATCAATGAGTTCTTGTCTCATCTGGAACACCAGAGCTTCCTTGGCCATCAGAGCACGGTGCAGCCTCTCATTGAATTCAATCAGCTCCCCATGCATTTCAGCCACCTGAAAAGCAAAGCCAGGGGATAACTGTGATCTGAATTGGAAAAAAAAATACCACTACATAATTTCTTACATGTATATCAATTTCTTTTTACTCTCCAAGTACTGCTGATGTGGTGGTTTGAACTGATCATTAAGAACAGACTTTGCTATAATTTTGACTCATGCTTTGAAATGTAGTTTTGATATTAAATTGAATAGGACAAAATACAACTTCACGCCAAATTTTATTCTTATCACTCGAAATCATATGACAACTGATTCTAATAAAACTCCCATTGACTTCTGTTCTCAGTTTAATTCTTTGATGAATGCAGCACTCAACAGGTACCAACTAATCACAATATTTTGAACAGGGAGTACTGCAAAATGCACAAACTGCATTAAACTTTGTCAATAATTCATAAGTGATGTATTCTTCACCCTCAGCTGGAGTTTTAATAGGAATGGACCTAGAAGTCAATCACTCCAGGCAAATCTGTGAGAGGTCAGAGGAGTCTAAATACCAGAGTCAGGCTGTGGCACAGGTTGTTCTCACAGGTAAACAGAGTGGCCTCTTTGGACACCGAGCGTGGTTGTGCTCTGCATTTTAAGTCAAGAGAGCAGCAAGTGGTGCAGGATGTTCTGAGAGTGCCAGGGCTGGGGGAGTGAGGGGATGGAAAGTTCCAGCAGTCAGATGAGCACAGTGGGCACTGCTGGGCCCCTCCCCGTGGGCTGCCCCAGCAGCATGGTTAAACCTGTTCCTGTAACAGCACCTCTTGGAATGCCTCCTCCTCATCCTCCTCATCCCCATCCAGAGCTAGAGAACAGCAGAGGCAGCAGGGTAACAGCATGAGAGCACAGCTGAACAACATGAATTTCAATCCAGGCACCTCAACAAGAGCACACAGACTTGAGCTACTGCCAAATCTCTTAAGAGTTCATCGTTTGCCTTCTGGAAGCAGTTCATTACTATCTGTGAATTTCACTATTTCCTTTTCTTGAATTACTCTGCCTTCTCCCTCTTCCCCAGGGAAGTTCCCCAAAATAAAGCAGTTTAATTTAGTGAGAAGTTCCCCAAAATAAAGCAGTTTAATTTAGTGCCTGCTTTTAATTTTGTGCTTTGTTCCACACAAACCTGCATCCTTCACAGAATCAAAGCAAACAAAAAAATCCTCAATTTGACAAGCCAGAATCTCATATCATTGAATATAAATAAAAAGTAAAAATCATTTTCATGAGGTGAACTTCAAGCATTCTTTTCCAATTTCTTTTTATATTAGAAGGAGTCCTTCAAACCCAGAAATTCATCACTGAAATATATTTGCAAAAAAGATCTAAACTACACCAACAATATACTAGAGAAAACAATAATATAATACTATTAATTCTAGATAAATCATTTTCCATACTAGCTTAACCACTAATTCCAATTTAATGTGGGTGGTGTAACATTTAAGAATACCAGGTTAATATTAACAGGTCACTGTTAATTCCACAGAGCCTGGGCTGTAAGGCAGAACTTCCTTGCATTTCAAGTATAGAGATACAGCACACAACTAGTTGCAAATTCACAGAGAAAAGCTGCAATAATACTGCTGGTTATCAAAAGCAATATAAAAATTTACAAGTGGATCTCCATAGTTTGCATATTTGAAAACAAGTTTGGTTTTTCAGGGCCTGTCTGTCAGAACAACAAAATCCAGACTGATACATGACTATTTTGTCTCTCTCTGATTTGGATGTCCTTGAAATAACTTTCTACTTGCAGACTCAATTAATATGTAAATTCAACAACTCTCTCAAAACACTGCAAGTAATGCAAAAATTTGTAAGTATCCCTAGCAAAGTTAAATAATAAAAAGGAATTTTAACAGCAAAAAAAACCCAAATCACTTGTTCTATATTATCAAAAGGACAACTGGAAGGTATCACTTATTAGCAATTAACTGACTTCAATACTTTTCCTTGTCAAAGAAAAAAGCATTACCATCACAGCAAATCAAAAGGAGCAATGAATAACAATATTAATTTAAGCTCCTTTAATTTTTCCTGCATCAAGGTCTGCTAAAATAATAAAGAGGTCTCCTTATAATTATATCCTTTCAGTTCCATTTTCATAGAGTCACATCTTCCTTTACTCAATCCACATTGAAGCTTAAGCAATAAATTTCCCTGCTGGGACTTCAATCATCTTCACAGTTGTTTTTCTTCATAACAATATGCTTGAAGCAAAAAAATAAAGTATAAATAAGCTAAGTTTCCGTTGGACAGAGGATCGTTTAGATTTGCTCCTTCCTATATGAGAAAACAATTTAAAAAACCCGAACCCAAACCCTTCTCATGAAGTGAGGCTAAAGTAAACACTTGAGGCTCCACACTAAGAGAACTCTTTAGAGTTGTCAAAAGAAAACCTAAGAGCCTGAGAGCACTGCAGTTCCACTGGCCAGCATGGCCACAGCTGAGAGCAGTCTCCAGAGAAAGGACAAAGAAAGCATCACTTCATGCTTCACAGCAAAGGACCAAGCAGTTAACCAAAACAGGCTCTAAGCCTGTTTCACTAAGCATCTAACAACACAATCTATCTTGGAAGAATACGCTTCTAGATAGAGAAAGACACATTTAACAACAATGCAACCACAAAAATAAAATCAAAACTTGCAACAATAAAAAATTAGTAATTTTCTTACAGAGAGTTTTAATGGAATCCAAGATTTTTTTTTAATATTGTTTGTAGCAAAGACTTCATAGATGTTTTTGCACAAGCCACATCTGAATTAATGATTGTTGTCAGGCATAGACATTTTTTCCCCAATAGTCACAAAATGCAAAATGAGAAAACAATTTAAAAAACCCAAACCCTTCTCATGAAGATGAAGTGAGGCTAAAGTAAACACTTGAGGCTCCACACTAAGAGAACTCTTTAGAGTTGTCAAAAGAAAACCTAAGAGCCTGAGAGCACTGCAGTTCCACTGGCCAGCATGGCCACAGCTGAGAGCAGTCTCCAGAGAAAGGACAAAGAAAGCATCACTTCATGCTTCACAGCAAAGGACCAAGCAGTTAACCAAAACAGGCTAGGAGTGTTTCACTAAGCATCTAACAACACAATCTATCTTGGAAGAATACGCTTCTAGATAGAGAAAGACACATTTAACAACAATGCAACCACAAAAATAAAATCAAAACTTGCAACAATAAAAAATTAGTAATTTTCTTACAGAGAGTTTTAATGGAATCCAAGATTTTTTTTTAATATTGTTTGTAGCAAAGACTTCATAGATGTTTTTGCACAAGCCACATCTGAATTAATGATTGTTGTCAGGCATAGACATTTTTTCCCCAATAGTCACAAAATGCAAAACAAAGTGTTTCTCAAGAAACTCTAGACAGAACTGGAAGTTGCTTCTTTTTGCTCTTAGTGGAAGCATGGGTGTATTTTTCCTATTAAATTTCCTTTCCAAAAATCAATGTTGTTATACATCTTTTTCTCAAAAGAAACGAGGCCAAAGGGCTGCAAAACAGAGCAAGCATCCTATCAACAACTCAATTTTTCTACAAGTGAAAAACAGTAAAACTCAAAATGGCCAAGACGGTTCCAAAAAAACGACTGATACAGTCATAAAATGCTCAAACTTTGCTTTCTGCTTCAAAACTTCCATTTTCTCTTCTCAGTATTTCCATCTGCAAACAAGTTATTTCGTTCAAGACAGACTGAAAGACTTAGGAATAGAGCTGGCATTAGGCTGCTTTGTTTTGGGCTTGTGTCCTAGGGTGACTTTATGATGCCTGTATTCCCAATTGTCCGTTCTGTTTATGCTGGATATTGAGTTCTGCACCTTTAGGACTGGTTCTGAGAGCAAAGGGGGGAGAAGAAGAGGTTCAATTTTTTAATATTATTCCTTTTTTTATGCTTGTGAACAGTTTGCTTGTTAAACAAACTTTTTTTTTTCCACTTTTCTCAAAGGAGGTTTACCTCACAAACTGGTTGGAGAAGGGGCTGCTTGAATTTGCTTTCTAGAAAAGACCATTTCAGAAGTTTCCTCCAAAAATTTGCCCTAAACCAGGACAGCTTAGTTTGGTTTTATTGTGTTGATTTTTGCTTGGTTGGTTTTTCACTCACTACACAAGGTAAGAACAAGTTGGGCTTCCTCAAAACCAACAAGTAGAAAATAAGCTGAAGTTTTCATATCAAAATAAACTGGGAACTATGCACATGTAATGAAATTCTTATTCATGTTTGCAATAATTCCCAGTCTTTGTCCTACCAGTGTTTACTGAGAGTGACACTGCTTGCCATGTTCAGAGCCTTAGAGAAGGGTTGTCACAAGGGTTATGTCCTGTTTGGAATATGTGAGGATATTGTTAGACACTAATAAGTGAAACAGAAGCAGCCGCCCTCTTCCCAGTATCACTGGCATAAAAGCTTTCCCTGTGGTTACACCCAGAGCTGTGTCACCACTGACACTGCCACAAACTCAGAAGTGTCAGCAACAAACTCCTGAGCACACAGAACAGACGTGGTACAACTAAGGAGGCTTCCACAGAAGAGGGAGGTTTTACCTGTGTCCTTAGTTAACATATTCTCTTGATAGGTACAGAACAGAGGAAAGGAGTGAAAAGAACTCAACCAAGGGTAGAGAATTAGTTTCACATGGCCCTATGAGAAAAGGATAACCAAGTATGCATGTTTTAGAAGAACTGCATGAAGCTCTTTGATCCATGACCTGCATTTTCAGTCATCTTCATGCTAATCAGTTAATGTGGGTATCCAATTTCAGGGTATTTTGGGAAAGAGAAAGACACAGAGAATTATTTTACTTCTTATAAAAATGTTCTTTTAATATTTAATAGCAGATATGGGTATTAGATACTAAATTTCATTACTTTTTTCTTAAAAATAATTTGTATTCAAATTTAGGATGAAACCATAATCTATCTTTTTTTTTTTTTCGTTAATGAATTTTACATTAATCTTTAAAGTAAATCTTGCCTTAGGAACTTTTTCTAACATGGTCATATCAACAGAAGTAGTAGTTTCTATCAGCCATTTCCTTACTGCAGTATTCAATAAGCAATACAAAAATGAAACATGGTTTGCAATCAGAAACCAGCATGAAAGCACAGAAAAAGCCACAGATTTCACTATGATCTTAAACAAAGCTCAACTGCCAACACAGCCATGCCTGTAATTACGTAGTGTAACTTGCACAAAACCTCAAATCTAATGTCTGTGGTGATTTCAACTTCACCACCAGCAGTTAAAACCTGAATAAACTTGCTTATTTATTAAAAACTTCATTTTAATATCAGTGTATAAAAATGTGTCCTTGTTAGGAAAAGTACTTTTAATTATCTGAGGTTTTTTATTTTTGAAGAAAAAAATCAGATTTATCTTTTACATTCCTAAGGAAAAAAAGATCTCAACTAAGCAAAAAACCTATTGAAGCTCCAAACCTTGTTTTACAATTATGATTCCATAAAATCTGTGCAGTACAAACTTTACCTCAATCAATTTCCTTTCATAAGAGCTGGCAAGTTCCTCATTGTTTTCTACTTGCTTTTGCTCTGGAATTGTGAATTCACCATCAGTGCTCCAAATGTTTGGCGGAACTATAACAAAGAGATACCTCAAATTAAAAAGTAAAATTCCATAAACATCCAGGACATCCTGTTTAGAAATAACAGCTCTATAAGAAACGGTTATTAAAAACATTGGAACAGACCATAATATTAAACACTATTACAAGTACTAAAATACAGATTCTGCAGGGACCCTTTTTGGTAAGAAATATTTAGACAGGAACCTTAACAGAAAAAAGTGTAAACCAAAAGCACTTGGCTATTCTGTAACTACAGCTGTCTAATATATGTAGTACCAGCAGTTCCTGCCCCAAGTTGTCTAAAACTAACCTTACGTTCTCTTTTAAGCCTTTTTTTAAACTGGGCTCCCAAAATACAATTTTGTATTACTTGTATAGACTGCTTACATATCAGAGAATTTACAGAAAACAGGGCTGAGAATGAACATTTCATACTTCACCCAGTATTTCATTATTTTCATCAAGCAGAATCAGCTGGAGTTATTCCATTCCTGATAGTTAATTGTCTAATTTCTCCCTAAAACCTTCCAAGAAGGGAGATATCATGCTTCCCTGCATAACCTATTTAAGTGTTCTTCTCACAAAGGCTTTCCTGATAACTAATCAAACTTCCTTCACCTGCCATGTCAGCCCATTGCTGCTTCTTTTATCTGTAATGAATGAAAATTACAATTATTCTATTCCTGTTCCCAGCTATCATTTAAGTATTTGAAGATCACTTTAAGGCCTATTCTAAGTAAGTCTCCTCCAAGTTACACAAAACCCACTTTTCGTCATAGTTCATTAATTTCTAAGAAAACAAGTGAACACAGAAAAGCAAAGCCCTAATAGAAGAGGAGTTGAACAAATGCTTTCATCATTCTTCAAAATCTGAACTATATATATACATATACATATATATATATATATATATATATATATATATATATATATATATATAACCACCATCATGTAGATAGAAGACACCATAATTTACCTGGCTAAATATTTTTGATCCTGGGAACAGATTTTTGCTTTTGCTTTGAGGAAGAATTTAGAAATTTATTATTTAAGTGAATTTGAAAGCTACTTTAAGATCTTTTTCTTGTGAATGTTGCTTCAAGTTCTTAAGCCAGACTTCTAAGATCAGCATTTTTATACAAATATTCTGTCTAAGCAGGTTTAAAAAATGGTACAGAGCCAACTCCTGCTGATGACTGAGAAATCAAGATGCTCATTTATTAAATATTTAAATACCTATATCCAACTGCCCAGGCTACAGCAGTGATCACTCATTTTGAAAGCTGATAGTTCTGACTTTTGGGTAATTTATTTATAATCACATTTGCTGAGTGGGGTTTTTGGCCTTTTAAGTCTCCACAAGGCAAAGTATCAAGCTGAGTTTCATTTATTATTTTAGGAAACTATTTAAAAGCCATACTCAATAGCATTTGATCTGATTATTGTAGCAAACATGTAGAGTCTTCATTACTTATAGTGATAAAAATAACAGCAGAAGCCCAGTTTATTCTGACTCTTTCAAAACCGAGTCACAGAAAATCTGTATTCTAACACCTACAACACATTTAAAACTTTTGTTTTCATACCATTAAGAAGACAAATTACAATTAAAATTACTCATTACATATACAAACCACAGGTGAAACAGTTTCTATAAATCTGGTAAAAGAAAAAACTCCTTTTGTTTCACTTCTTTTTTGCAGCTAGTTCTCAGGGATTATTTACATGCTTATGTACTTTGGGTCAGAGACCACAGTACAACTAAAATTTCACCTAAATTTTCAATGGCAGCTAAGGAAAAAGAATTCAGTTTTACAAAAATTCAACATGTGAAGTTACAATACAAGAAAAATTTATTACAAATATTGTATGTAGCTGAAATGTATTCTGGTCACTAGTGATAAATATTATAGAAAATTACTGTGGATTGATTAAGTATCTTTCCAGCATAAAGCACACGTGTGTTCATTTTTAGAGATGTTGGTACTGTTCCATCCTCCTTTTTCATCTATAAAATCTGACCATCCTACTCAGTTTCTATTCTTATCACTCACTAATCTGCATAATTTTAACACGGTGGAATATAGCTAGCCTAGGAATTTTTTTTTTTTCTTTTCCTATAATTATACTCATCATGGAAACTGTCACTACCTAATGGAGGATAATTTCTGCTATTATAGGAAGCCTAAGCCATGGTTTTCGTGAATAATTCTTAATATGAATCACTACACTCCAGCAAAGTCGGAAGTAAAAACATGTGTTCTCACTAACAAATATCCTTTTAGGGATGAATGAAGCTTTGAAACTGCAGAAAAGTACAGTGGCTAACCCTGAGGAACAGTAGTATTCATTCATACAGCCACTTATACGACCAAAATATTCACAATTTTAAAAAATCAGATGGTGCCAATTGCTGAAAACCTCTCTCAGCTCTCTGAACACCTTCTGTAGCCAGGGGAAATCCAGGTCCCACCAGAAAATTCAGAATCAAGACATCAATTCAGCCCCTCATGGATGTTTCCATCACAGACCACAGAAGACAAACAGGTAAAACTGCAGATAACTTCACTCATTTTCTTTCAGATATAAAATCTGCTCATTACTACTCAGTACAGAATCTATTTCAAACAGTCTGCAAATACTGATTTCCAAAACAACAGTATAATCTAGAGATACTACATTTATTTTTATATTCCAATATCACATTAATTCACAGATTTTTATTTAAGCTAAATTTTCATCAGACAGCTTTTTCTGGAAAATTTCTTATTGAAAAAAAGTAAGACCACCTCATCTACCAGAAAACGCTCTGTAAAAATGAGTACAAAAATCTACATCTATATTTTTCACAAAAGGAAAATATATCAAATATGTTATTCTCACTATTGGAAGATATTACTCCCTGAATGGCAGCACACAGAAAACAAACATCATGCACAGATTCTTTTCCCCCCTTCATTTTATCCTTACCTTCCACTGTTTGACCTTCTCTTCTGAGCATCTGGACAGCTCCTACATACTTCTTAAGCTGCACTTTTAGCACCTCATTCTCTCTATTGATAAAAAAAAAAGCTATAAATAAATATTGTTTTCCCAAAATAGATGAAAAGTCCTTTTCAATGGAAGCAAACAGACTCTCTGTTATAATGAGCTTTACCTAAGTTGTGTCACCATGATGCAAGGAAAAAATTAAATAATACATCAACATCAGAGTAGCAGGAAAATGAGTTTTCCAGGACCACATAAACACATCAGTGAAACAGATTATCTCATAATCAAAACTTTTCCATTAATTGAGATTGTTTAATTTAATTGAGATTTTCTGTACTATGCCATACTGATGGCAAACAAACCACACAGTCTATCTAAATCTACAATCAACTAAAACATAAGGATGGGATGCTAGACAAGGAAATTCAGAATGGCCAATGTAAAATGAAATCATTATTTTACTAATTGGCATCTAATTGCAAGCAAATAATAATTCAGCTTTAGAAGCAGGCTTTATCATTGTAAGAAAATGGCAGCACTTCAGCAACAATATTCAAGGCAAAAGTTTACACAAACCATTCCTAAATGAAAACCATAAGACAAGAAATTTAGGTAATCCCTTCAGCTGTCATACTTCAGTGCCTGTGCCTGTCTCATTTCTCTTTGGAGTGTACAAGCATTCAAACCAGGTACTACCATGGCTCCACTTAACAACATTAAGCACCTTAGTTTATATTTGGGGAGAAATAAAAAGGGCTCCAACTGATTGATTTTAAACAAAGCTGACAAATCACTTGTCTGAAAATTCAATTATCTGTCTAAGCCCATTCAGTTAAGCGAGTACAACAGAAAAGTTTATACCAAAGAAGCTTAACTAAAATATGTTGCCAGACTGTGAATTCAAACAGTTTTTATTTTTCTTTAAGAAAACACTGAGGTAGGAGGATGTAGATGCCACAAATGCGGCACAACACACAAGAACCCCACAAGTGTTAGAGAGAGGAGGGAATTTGAGCTGGCAAGGCTGTGCTCCAGGCACGATGGAACCTGGACATGAAACACAGCACAGAAAGCTGCAAATAGATGATACACCAAAAAAAAAGGCATTTTATTAATGGAAATTTATTTAAGAATTAGAAATATTTTAAAAAAATGCAAGTATGTTTGATGGTCCTTATCATACTAGATATACACACACAGATAAAATACACGTATTTTATATATATACACACACAAACTACTGCTGTGAGCAATGCTACACTGCTCCTATAAGGAGCCTTGACTGGCACAATATTCCCATTCCTATGGATTTTAAGTCAGCTTGCTGAACTTTGTAACCTCAATTTTATTCAGCATTTTAGTAGGAGGTTGCTAAATAATTGAGAAGCTATTGATTGCTTGGCAATCGAATTTTAAGAGTCCTTGATGATTTTATGCATTTGATGATATTTTTTATTTCTGAGACTACAAAGAACAAATCAGTTTTTCCACCAGAGATAGACTCTGATATTCAGGTTAAGGGGAAAAAGCATAAAAACCACAGTTTAATCCTATATACTATATTAAAACACGCTCAAATAATTCATTCATGAAAAAAAATTTCTATGACAACTAAACAAAAAGGTTTCTCACCAAAATTGTAAAAATGTCTGCATGAAAATAACTATGTACAGTTACAATATATTGAGTATTATGGATTCTCATGAAATAACTCTATATCACCTCATTTCTACACATGAGAATAGACTCAGTACCTTCTGTCAGTACTGTGACAGCATTTTAAACAATCCAGTTTTTACTACTTTGTCTTAAAATTGACTTAAAGTTGATACACTACAGATGACGTTGAAAAATACTTTAATTCATTTAAGGTTTTTGATACAAGACTGAAATTCAAAGCAGGGAACTATGGCCAAGTCACAATTTTCTAATATGCTCTACCAGGTTATTACCTATTCTTTGACATCTCTTACTCATTACTACTATTTAGCTGGATTCCAAAGAGGGCCCATCCTGATGTGTAGGAATTTATATAGTTCTTTTAATCAGAGCATATTTAAAAAACATTCAGTAAGCACTCATTGAAAAGTCTTTAATGACTTCGAGAGGTATTTTATCAGATATATTCCTAACAAGCATTTCACAGGAAGATAAATTCCTGTCCAGGAGTTACAGGTCAGATCTGCAGACTGAAGGATGCTAAATACTTCTAAATGCAGGCCCTGCTGTACTTCTGCAAAGTATCCAAACTACAACAGCCAACCTGAAGCAGAACTGTTCACCTGTTACGAGCCCAGAGGTCAACACAATATTTTCAGCATCTTTAAATTGCTCAAAATAGTTCCACATTTAGTGCTGAAGAATGAGCAACGAGACTGTAAGTACAAATTGAAGAGGACAGAGAAGAAAAAAAAGATAAATTCCTGAAATAGCCAGGAAAACAAAGGCAGAACTGCACCACTCAAAGCACATCCTTCTCCTAAACCTCAGTTATACCAAACTTCCCTGCCTGATCACTTCTTCCTTTTAATAAGCTGAAAGACAGATGGTAGTATGTGCTGATATAAGGGAAAATGACAATGATAGAGGATGACATTGTAGTATTCCTGCAAACTACTCTTTTTTCTCAAATAGCAAAGGTCTAGTGAGTGTTGTTGATTAGGCTTCATAGCACATATATAGGAATGATCAATTATATAGTAAATGTAAGCCTGCCTAATTTTGAATCAAAAATAATTCCTCTCTATTTTATTAATTTAAAATTAGCATTTAAGAAAACCCTCTCTGAAAGAAAATCAAAACTTCAGGCAGAATGGTAAATTTTTTTAGCAGCAAAAAACAAGCTTGTGTTTAGGAAGCATGTACTTGCCTGTTTTGCACTCAGTGAATGAACATAGAGCATACAGTTTTTGTTGCAGACAAAGAGGCCTTACAGGATTTATTTTCTTATACCTTAATAGAAAAAAAGAAACAAACCCAAACAAAACTCCAGCACACATCTGCTTCTTGAAAAGGATACAGAAATTCTCTAGGGCTTCTGCAAAATGAGCATGGTAAGAAAAGAATTTGAAAAAGAGTAATTTCTCACATATCTCAAGTATAGTAGCCTGAATGTAATTAATTTTTGGCACAAACATCAGCTTCTAGCAAGTGCTTTCTGTGAGGCTTACCCCAGAAAGATGTCTCATTCCTAAATCCAGCACTGGGAAAAATTAAACAAAATAAAACCAAACTACTGGAATCCAACAAATGTCTATGTTTTGACAAAAAAGCTACAGTTTTTAGGAAATACTAAAAAGGTACCAAATAGCCAAACGAATATCCAATCTATAAAAAACCTGCAGGAGTTAAGAATGAATTTAAATAAACAATGGCCTGCAACATTATGTAGAATCTGAAGCAAAGGCTGAGCTAGAGGACTTCCAGAGTTGCCTTCTAACCTGAATGAGTCTATTAGGAGATGCAAGATCACAGTCAGTTGTCAGCAAATACAATTAAATAAGGAAAATGAGAACTGTTACTCAAGGAAATAGTAGTTCAACTGTATACAATATAATTATTGTATACAATATAATTATTGTATACAGTTGAGATTATATAATTAATATATAATATATTATTGAGATTATATAATAATATTATATAATCTCAATAATAATATATTATTGAGATTATATAATAAAACCAATCTCCAGGAAAAGCTTTAATGAGGAATAATGTGCTAACCTTAACTGCTTGTCATGGGCTGGGGCTGCAGCTGAAGCAGGGCCATGACTGAAACCTTCCCCTGGCTGGGGGCTCACTCAAAGATGAAGGCTGGGTGGTTTTCACCTTGTTTAGCTCTTCTCCTTCCTCCTCCTCATGCTACACCTGCTTCTCCTCCTTCTGCCCTCACTGATGCTCTGCTGCCAAATATTCTTCCTCATCCACTTCTTCCTCCTTCTCCCTCTGGGAAGCTCCTTTGTCCCCTACTAAATGGGCTGATTTCCAGTGGGGTTTTTTGTGTCTAGGAGCTACTGATGACTTGTGACACACCACCAAGCAGGAATAAAAAGTCATTTAATATAGGAATATTCAAATTAGTTTTCACAAGCAGGAACAAGAGATATTTTTCCTCTCTTTATGAAGCTGCTTAAGGGAAGTGATGGAATCATTTCAAGATGTACTACACATCAGTTCACCTATCACTGAAGGACTATGGCTGTGAAAGAACTGCTGCAAAACAGAATAGGAGAAGATGCCAAATCCAAAAGCAATGTAGTTTAAGTAATACAGACAGTAGATAGAGAAGGCATATTAGGTTACAGAATCTACAGCAAACAGGAGGTATGTAGAAGTGTAAGATAAAGTAGAGACAAATTCTCATCCCTAATTTCCCCACACAGTGCATTTTCATCTTCTCTATCTGCTTTTCTTGCTACAAAGCCTGTCCTTTATAATATGCTTTCCTCCAACATTGCTGAATACAGTCTAAGAATATGCAATCTGAGATCATCCAATTTCACAGTCAAGTTCAATAAATTCCTTTGCCTTGCAAGGGGATGTAATAGAATTCCACAAAGAAAAGAAGAATCTCAATTAAAAAACTATAGTATTGCCAAGAAGCCAGTGGCACAATATGTCCATGCAATTTGAGAAAGGTTCATTGACAAGAACAAAAAAAAACTAAAACAAAACAAAACACAAAAAACAAAAAAAAAAAAAAAAAAAACAAAAAAACAAAAAAAAAAACAAAAAACAAAAACAACCCAGCCAGCTGCATCACTGCAGAAGACTACTGATTGTATTCTATCAGAAGACTAGCAAATAGATTGAACCTGAGCCTGCTCCTTTTGGAACAATATAGCAACTGTTATGAAAGAGTTATTCAAGTATTTCACATGGAACAATGAGATTACCACTACTTGAAACTAAGCTCACCTAAGACTTCTTCCATTTTTCAAAGAGAAAATGGGAAACTCGGGAAAATGTCTCACAGTAAACTAGCATTTTGTCTGGGAGGCCAGAGACTCTTGGGAGGGTCCAGGAGAACAGCTGAATAATTGCAGATTTCCAGAAGCCATCATTTCAGCACTGACTGATGTGTCACTGAAATTTGTGTTCTCAAAGCCTTCAGGAAGCTATTTATGTCAAATTCTTCAAAAGAGCTTTGGGGACACACATAAATATCAGCTCTCATAATCTGAAAAATATTCATTCATCAAATCACAACAGTCAGATTGTTACTGAATGATTTCCCTTGCCTTAAAATATTCAGAACATCACAACTGAGGAAAATTTTCTACTCTGCTCATGTGATCAATTGTTTTCAAGGGAAACAGTGAGACTTCGCTACTTCAAAATATCTGAAACTTAGTTTCTTCTTACTTACCTAGTGTATAATGTTAGCACTCAAAAAGCAAATCCAAACTTTTTGTTGCTTCAAATTCTTTAGATTATTCAGCTTGCTCAACTTCTTGTTTAAAACACTATTTATTTTAAAAATTTACTACTCTTATTACTGCAGCAGCATCACCTACAGCATACAAAGTGAACCAACAAAAAATTTAGAAGAAAAACCCATATTCCAATGAAACTACATGCAAAGTTTCTTATGTTAGGATGTTAGAAAATGAGTTGCAATGAATCATTAAAGAAATGCCTCCCAAATCCAAAGTAACTGGTGACACATGAATTTATCATGCCTCAGCAGCTCCCAACACTGTTTTTATCACATGACAAGGCAAACTGACTTTCAGAAGAGCAATCAACACAACACATCCATATAGCAATAAGAGAAATTACACAGACTTATTTAAAAATACCTCATTAGTCTAAGTGAGCATCTCGTCAGGTCTGGTTATAAAAGCTCCTTATCTATTCTTTAAAAAGGTATGTGCATGACAAATATCTGATTCACCCATATGTCATTGCAAATTCTAAAACTGTGGGGGAAGTGAGTCAAAGAAATATGAATATACAACTCCCATAACCTGAAACATGAATATTAAATGATGAAGTATTTGCATTGTCTCTACTGCCTTACAGCACATGAATGTCAAACCCACTTATTCATATCTCTCCACCCCTCAAAGCAAGTAGTTTGGTTTGATGTGTCATCAAAAGCAGAATTAGTAGTGTCCTCAATACCTTTATTTTTAAGAAAGCTTTATATTTATCATTTTTAAATAGGCAATAAAAAGCTTAAAGGAATCTCAGCTGTGGTACTCTGTCATTGACACTAAACACACTCTGCTCGTGCATGCAGAAAACAAACACCTCTCTCTGGGTAAGGCAAATTATTTAACTCTTGGATTGTTTGTTGTTTACTATACACATGAATCACCCCCAAGATCTTACACATCGTGGTTACTCTAGGGCTTATTTTGAATTGTAAGAAGCAAATCACACTATTACAGCAGCATTTACCTTCAAAAGTCTTTCTGCAGCTGAATCCCATTTAGACAAGGAGAGGGTTAAAATTCTTTCAATGTCACTGTAGCACAAAGTCAAGCTGGAAGCAACTCAATACTGGGGCCAATGCTGTTTAACACCTTGACATCACCTGGATGCTGGGCCAGAGCACACCCTCAGCAAGGTCACAGACAACACAAAACTGAGGAGCAGAGACACTGCATGGCTGTGCTGCCACCCAGGGGGACAGGGACAGGCTGGAGAACTGGACTCAGAAAATGTCTGTGAAGTTCAACAAGGGTAAGGGCAGACTCCTGCATTTGGGGAGAAATAGCTTGGGACACCCAGGCAATGCTGGAGGGCTGGAAAACAACTCTGTGGAGGAGGATCTGGGAGCCCTGGGGGACAGGCAGCTGAGCACGAGCCTTCAACACCCCCCCTCCCATGGCAAAGCAAGCCAGGAGCAGCCTGGACCCCAGCAGGAACAGCACTGCCAACAAGTCACTGCCAATAGTGCTGCCCAAAGGGCCTGGGGAGTCTCTGTCTGTGCAGATATACAAAACCTGACTGCAAATGGTCCTGAGAAACCTGTTCCAGCTGACCTTCCTGGAGCTGTGGGAAAACAGCTGCATCACTGCAGAACTTGGTACTCGCTTGTTGATAATGTTTAGCAACAGCTATTGCTTACCATAGGACTTTCAGTCCTAAATCACTTCTGTTCTTCTGCAAACTTAGCTACTTGAAAATTATTTCCCTTCTATACAGACTGTTATTCCTTTGTTCCCCTGCAGTTCCTTTTTGAGACATTTTCAGTACTTCTTACCGTGCCAAGGCTTGGACTTTCGTGGCATGTCGCTCTTCCTGCTCTGCCACCTTCCTCCTGCAGTTCTCCATCTCCTGCCTCAGTGCTGCAGAATGCTCCATCTCTGCATCCAGCAGATTTCGCAGGGACCTGCAAGAAGGCAGCAGCCTCTCTTTATGGCACTGCACAAACTACCTGCTAGTTAGAGTACACTCCAAGAATCACAGAGGAGTGATACCACTGATGTCATCCAAAAATTTCATTATTGAATTTAATAAATTCACTTGATTTGATTATACAAAGATATGAAAAGCTACAAGGAAAAAGCAGTTGCAAATGTTTATTATTAATTTGTATTATTATCCTGTCAACAAGTCCAAAGCACATCTTATTATAGGATCTACTGTATCAGCATGCAGAAAGAATTTGTTTTTCTAAAAAGCTGGTAAGCTGTTTTCAGTACTTCAGGGCAAGTCCATACATCTTGGGAATAATCTATAAGCAATACATTTACAGCAAGACAGGCAGGGCTCTTGTCTCTGCCAAGTGCACTGCCACAGACCTCTGTGTAAAAACCCTTGATGAGATAGCAAAAGGTCAGCATGATGCATAATGGTAAAACCCAAAGCACCCTGGTCCTTCTGCCAAAAAAAGCCCACAAAGCTGAATGAGGCCATAACTTGCAATTATGGGAGTGGGAAGAACAGGAAGAAGGAAAATAGGATCCGTTGGTAAGATCAGCATTAAAAAACCCAAAATACCTATAGGAAAATATGAATTACTATAATAGCCCTAAGAAAGCATTGAATACATTTGTATTTTCATTCATCTAACTATGTGTTTCAATAAACTAAATAAATACAAAGTATGTTTGAAGGCATTTTAAATAAGTAAATGATCATTTCTACATTTACATCATCATTGTGCCCCAAGACAGTCAGAAATGAAAGTCACTTTCAGCCTTACATTGTCAGCCATCCTACATCACTTCTTCACCAGAAGGGAAAAACTAGACATTTTCTGAATATTTGCATTAGGAGAAACTTTTGCTCATTTGGAAAGCTATCTTAACAGAGCTTCAGAATCTCCTGGCTATAAGGTTTGGTTTTGAAAAAACTACAACTGCAAAGCTCCCAAGGTACAATGAATTACCAGATTCAAACTAAAAGAAAAAGTTGCCTTTGAAACACTATTCTTCAGTACCAACATTTAAAAAGTGAATTATTAAGTTAACCTTTCAGAGAAAAAATAATATATACATCAAAAAGGTTACATAAATATTATGCATAGCTTTAGAAAGGACAGCTTGTATTAGAGAACAGATTTTTTTTTTTTTTAATTACAGTCCCTCTTGACTAAAAAACACAAACTACCTATTCTGTTCTTCCAGTTCATCCTTTCTATTCATCATGGCCACGATAGCTTGACGAAGTTCATCTAAGAAGAAGAAACAGAAAGGATTAATGTCTGTGTACATTTTTGCTCATTTCATTGCTGCACACAGGCAGCACACTTAAGGTGATGCCAACACCATTTGCTATTCAGGAAAGCACATAAAAATGCTCTTAATCTCATCACTAATTTGAGCAATCTTTCAAAAGCGCTGTTATTTAACACCACATCAGAAGTATTGATCAAATCAAATTAGTCTGCATCTGGCTTTAATACAAATGTTTACAAGTGTGCCTGTGGTTGCAGCTGTTTTGTTTTCACAGGTGTAGGGCAGAAAGCACCTTTTCACCACATGCCTATTAATGAGATACACTGTTACTTGTTCAGCTTCTCCAAATTGCTTCTTCTCCTGGCTGTAAATCCTGACGCAGGAAATAACAGCTCCAGGGAGATGGGAGCAGAGATAATGTCTTTGCTTCCTCATGGCACTGTTTCTCGAGCTCAGCCCCAAAGATTATGAGACTTCTGAACCTCATCATTTCCTATAAAATCCTTCCTATTTTTTTACAAATACCATTAAAACACTTTCTGTCATTAAATAAAGAATAATATTTTTTTTTAAACCAACCAAGAGAATTTAGAATTTTTAAAGATTTCCTTTGGGTTAGGTTTAACATGATACCAGAACAGTCAAATACCATACAGAAAAGTGTCAGCTCCAACAATTTCATTAACAATTTCACATACGTCAATCAGTAATTTTATGAGTGCTACAAGGACACAATTATATTAAAACATCCCTCCCAACATTTAAGTGAAATGTTTATATATAATAAATCAGCCAACTCTGTTCTGCAAGTATTCACTGCAGATGCCAGTAAATTTCAGTGTGCTTTTACTGAAAACATACTACCAGAACTGGTATTACTTGATTTCTTCAAGCAAGCAAAGCCATTGGACAATTTTTTCTCCCCTTCACATTCAGTACACAGTATCTTTCACCTGTAACTTTCCTAATATTTTCTATAGTTACAGAAGCTTTTGCCCATTTAACAAAAATTTAACATTTTCCTATGGACCAGATGGAGTCTGACAAACTCTAGCAGTGGATAGAATGTAAAAGATTTTATTATGTCAACCAAATGTTGACAGTCAGCACTGCAGACATCTTGACTCCAGTCTGGCCTTGGTAATCTGCAGGCAAATCCAACCCTTGCAGGACTGCAGGGTTCAGCAGAGTTCTTATATCATTTGAAATCAGCCAACCCAAATTTCTACAAGCTAGAATTTTTACCAAAACATTCCTGTGTCTTTGGCCAGGGAGAAAGCAGATGATCAGTACATGATTTTCTGCCCATTTCATAATACCCATATTACACTTTAAGAGCTAAATGACATGAGCAAGAAACGTTTCAGTAGGTCATTAGAGGGAGTTTGCACTTCATTAATTCAGCATAGAAAAAATAATTTGCTTTCTACAGTAACTTAGCATATTTTATGCAACCCTAAAAAAAAATAACCTAAATCTTGTAGAAAAACCAAAAGTGAAATAGTGAAATTTCTGGGTATTAAATACTAGCACAAGGGACCACAATCCATCATCCTATCTGTGATATAAACAACTGCTCTATGGATGAGGAAAATGGAATAATCCAGTGTTAGAGCATCATACAAATAAACACCACAAGCAAAAGGATCCACACTAAGCTTTCTGCACAGTAACACTCCATAACAAAATAACTATCTTGAACCATAATGTTGAACTCAGAATCCTCCTCAAGGACACATCAAGCCAATGGCATTTTAAATATTTTAAGTGTGCCATTAAAATATCATAGTGCACGATCAACAAGTAGTTGCTGTTATGTCTCTAACTCAGAATAAATTAAAGCTGTTGCTGCTCAGACACGGCTCTGCACTTGCACAGGGTGCCCACTCTGCAGCAATTGCCTCTGTGTGTACTCAATCTTTTAATGTGTACTGATTTATTAACATTTATACAGCTAAGCTATTATAAATTGGCTTCATTATTTCAATTTTACCAGTCTATTCAAACTGTAATCTTAACTTGCATAACAACTTAATCTTCTTTTCATTATTCCATCCAGAATCTTCTGCATGAGTTGAGACCTGAAATCCCATCTTTTCTCACTCCCCTCTCCCACACACACACACAAGCAGAACACAAAAGCAAGATCCTGCTAAAGACCATGGTTTGCACAGAAGAGGAAGAAAAAAAAGCCTCTTGAAATAGAAGACTTTAAATTGCTTATTTATTTCCATTTGCTTCTTTTTTCCGAGAGTCATGGAATTGACAATACTATAGAGAAACAATAAAGCAGAAATTCCAAATTTCATTATCACATATAGGGCAAAAATTGATGCTCAATTTAGGACCACAAATGCAAACACATTTTATACTCAGTATTTCTTGCTAATTCAGCTCAATTACAGGTACCAGTGGAGGTGTGGATGAAAGCATCAACACAAACCACCAGTCTGGGATAAGAGACGAGCATTCCAAGAAGGCTGGTCCAGCCCAGCAAGATTGCTCCATGGCTACAGCTCTGCTGTTTCTTCTTGAATTGATGAGTATTAAGGAGTCATATTTTCTATAAATTACTCAAAACAAGCACAAGAAATATACAGTTTATAATCAACACTTCTTTAGCCTATCCATAGTAAACACAAAAAAGTAAAACATTATTAGTGTAATAAAATGAGTAAAAAAGAAAAAAATCAGAAACCTTAATGTCAAGATATTTTGAAGCAAGGAACTGAGTAGAACTAAGAGGAAACCATCCTATTTAATTCAGGTATAATATTTAAAACTTTCAAAAAATTTAATTTCTTATTTTCACTTACGCTTCCTGAAAAATTTCAGCAGCATGTCAGAGCAGTCAGCTGAATGCAAAGGAAATCCAGCATCATACACTGCAGCAGGTTCCCTTCAAACCTGCCAGAACATCCCCAGTTCATGAGCTTTTGTCTGTCTTGCCTCCAAGATGAGCACATGATCATAACCTAATTTTTCCAGCAGTCTTATGTCTCATACATTGTGTGGGTTAGAAAAGGGAATAATTTTTTTAAATGTCAGGGTTGTAGCAGCAACCATAAATTTGGCATTTTCTGACTTCTGAACTGTGCAACCTCAATCTTTCTCCCCCCCCCTTCTTTTTTTCTTTTTTTTTTCTTTTTTTAATAAAACAGTGGGACGATGGCCAAATATTCCTACTTCAGAAAAGTGTTTGATATTAGACTTTATGTCCTACTTCTGAGCTGTTTTGTGTTTGACACCATTTATGTTCTGTAAAGTAATATTAATGAAAGGCAATACATTACTGTTATTAAGGATCAGCATTCAACACCAACATATCTAAAAGTGAAGTGATAACCTGAGTTCCATAGAGACAGAGATAAGAAGATAACTAGTGAAGTTTTACCTAAGAGGTAGTTTTGCAACAATTTCTTAAAAAAGAATTCCCATGTACAAACAAACAATTCCAAAGCATTCTTTATCAGCAAAAAAAGAAAATATAAAAATCCAGGAATGTACTAAATTTTTCATATTAAACCTCACTTTTTCAAACACCAGCAATATTTTTTACTGCTGAAATTAATCTGTGGTGCCTAATTACTCATGAAGTGAGTATTTGCTCTAAAACATTTTTTAATTCTATTCCACACTTCATGCAAAATCTAGCTTCTAGAAAGCTTTCATAGGGTCATAGAGCATGAAATATATAATGCTTTGAGAAACACCTGCCAGTTTCCAGCAACCTCCAGAAAATTCATAAGTTTCACAACTCTTGTGCTATTTAGCCAAAGACTGGAGCAGTATGATTTGCAATCACCTGTTGTGAAGAATGAGCTGTAAGTGAAATCATCCCTCAGAGTACACAAGGTCATGCAGCCTCCTCTGCAATCCTGCAGATAGAGTATCAGGGTGGGCTGGGAACAGTTTACAGGAATCTTTTTTTTTATTTTATTTTCATGAGTGAAAATTTGCACAGATATTTTCAGAGACAAATAAGACTTCCAGAAGACTAGTTACATCTTAAATCAGAAGTGTGACCTTTAAAGACTTAAAGAGCTTGATGCTCCCTAAGCTGCCTACATGAACACTGCGTTTTAAGGCTTAATTTAGTGCTCAAAAACCTTGTAAATATTATCCTGTCATGTCACTATTCACAGGGCAGATTTTAGTAGGAAACAAATTGTGTTGCCCTTCTACTGCACAGAAGAGTCCTGGTGAAAACCAAGGCTGTAAAGTAAACTGCAGCTTTCCCCTCCCTGATGAAATATAAACACCCTCCCTTCACAGCTGTGCTTTCAAAGAAAACAAGAATTTAGCACCTGCCAGTGACCTGGGGCAACTTGGCTACAGAACAGGTCAGCAGCTATTCAGAGGACACAGAAAGTACAAAAACATACACTTTATTCACTTACACAACCAGGATAAAAATATAACCTGGAGGTTTGATTACTCAGTAAAGTTCTTCTGTGATCACAAAAAGCTCAGGGATTTCTCAAGAATATATGAAAAAGTATGGAATGATGTACAATGTTACAACTTTTCCTAACCTTTGTGGTGAAGCCCAATTTTAAAAACTGAAGAAAATGATAGCAAAAAAACTAAATTACCAATTATTTCCTAAAAATTGTACTATAATAAAAGAATCTTATAAATAAGAACACAAGTAGTGTCCTTCTAAAAATGAAAGTTTTGCAACTTATTCTTTTTTCTACTGCAAAAACAAAATGGAGAGACTTGTGCTAGTAGAATAGATTATTCTGCTGAAAAACAATGCTGAAAATACAATCTTCCAATACCAACTCCTGAAAGTGTTGTTTGTGATTCAAGTACAATAAGATAAAGACAAATTTTTTAAAAACTGAAATTACACAGTAGAGTAGATGCATAAATAGAAAACTTCTGACCAGCTTAACTCTTTATAAACTTGGTTATGACACAACAAGCTGCACAGCAGGGCCAGTTTTCAAATTATGCCTGACATAAATAGCAAAGCTCTGTGGATTTTTCTTGAGTGCTATTAGTGTTTTTTGAGATGTACCTGTGGCTAAATTAACCTATACCTTACAAATGCATGGGACATAGTTCAGGAAAATAATTTAAAATGGCAGAAATTTGAAATTACAGCTTCTCCTAACTTAATAGCCTGCATATCAAAAGAACTAAGAAAAGTTTTGTACTACATTAATAGCTTGGAACAAAATCAGGAAAATAACATAATTTTTTAAAAATCCATTTCAGGATTTGTCTTCAAAAGTAAGAAACACAAAAATCCAGTCACTGGAGACCTCACAGCTTTTCTCACTGCACTACTGCATTGCATTTTTCTTGCCTGATGTGTTAGAATCAGTTGCTATGCAACCAAGCTATAAGCCTCAGCATTTAATAATTCTTCTGCTAATTGCAATAGAGAGAAAGAGCTTCAGTGACTTTGTCATAGCACTGAATTCCTCCTGTAGAGAATCTAGAACCAATAACAGCAAACTTGATAACAGCATTTTTATTCAACATACCCAGGATCACCTATTATAAAGGTAATCACTAATTCTATAAATGTATAGTCAGCTGAATTTTAATTATAATTATGATTATTTACTAGGTGTTCTACTGGCTTTATAGATGGGTTTGACATGCTTCCCACCCTTCCTTTCACCAAAGCCTTCTCTGAGCTGGGAAACTAATGATAGTGTGCACACTTCTGTTGATCCTGTGTTTTCATTTCATTTACAAATTGCTAAGTATTGAGAATTGAAAACCTCCAGATTTTCTTTCTATTTTATAGCTCTTACCTACACTGGGAAATAACTGAGCAACTGAAGGAGACCAACTGCGGCCCCTGCTGGTACCTGACTCCCCTACAAACAGCAGAATCAACAGAGTGCAGGGGCACCAGAAAACTGCCCTGTGCAATTCCCTGAGAAGTAAATAAGAGCAAAAGGATGTTGTAGGGATAACATGAGCAGAGAATATCTAGTGGCAAAAGTATCACTGCAGCTAATAACAGTAAGTCTATTCCACACCTCAATTATGGCTCCTAGAAGTCCCAAACTAGTTTGCCACTTCGTGACATACTTTGCAAGAAAGGATTTTTCAGCTCTGTAAAGCTCAGTCAGCAGACCAGTGCCAGAGCCTGAAACACTACCCAGTGAAAACACTTGTTTTATCTCCTTTAACACAGCTTGATACAGCATTTAAATATAACTTTAGAAAATGAGATTAGAATATCTTAAGATTTCATTCATTTTGATGACTGCATGAATCAACTGCAGAAAAGAATCTTGGCTGCATCACTTCTAACTTCCCAAATGTCATAATTTAAAACTTGTACATATTGAAATTTATAAGAAGAAACAAACACACACCCAAGAGCTTCAGGAACAAAGCCAGTTCAGTTACAGAACATTCTGTACACTGAGGAACATAAACACATACTGGCTTATAAGCTTAGACATTCCATTTAAGAACTAAGTATTTGTTCTACAAGTGTATGCAAAGAAAAAAGATCAAATATGTGATAAACTGCCTGTGCTTCTATTAATCTACCTCTGCAGCAAAGACTATTTTATCCTGTCTAGCTCTGCTCTTAATACCACTGAAACATGACTGTCTTCCCCCTTAATCTTAACTCAAGTTTTTGTGAAAGTCCACATTTATGCTTGGAGCAGATTTTCATATCAAAACCACAGAAAGAGTGGGGTTTGTTTGTTTCTGACTAGCCATTAATGAAAACAGGCCAAATAAGCAAGACTACATCTGAACTAACCCTCAATGTGTTCAGAACTTGTAGAAATTTAAAGATGTTAATCAAATAATTATTTTTCATTTAACTACTGAAGCCACATTTAATATAAGGATATATCAGCTGCAATGAAGCACAACCTGCCAATACAAGCATCATTTTAGAGCAACTATTACTAACATGACCAGCCCATCAGAAATCAAGTGCTCCATGACTCTCTAAGCAGATTTTAGTGAAACAAAAATAAGAGTTACAAGATTTTCAAAGCTATTTCTATCAGTCTAGATACATCAAGGAAGTACTTACTAATTGTCATGGATTCTGGCACAGTGGCTGAAGGCAACATACTGCTTAAAGTATTCACTTGAGCTGGAGGACTGACTTCCACTCTAGTCATAAAAGCACAGTAAAATCAATATATGAAACCAAAATCCTGAATTCAAAACTTAAGAAAAAAGTATTCCAGAAACTAGAATTGTTATCCTATTCACCCATATTTAATCAAAATACGTTGAACAATCCTTTAATGTATCTCCTGGCACTCTGACTTAAGCAGACACACAAAAAATCTGAACTAAAAGGCCATGGAGAATATAGCAAAACAATAACATAAAAACCAAATAAAACCAATTTTCAAAACCAGGAAGCCAAGTCTGCTATTTGACATGAATGACTTCCTCAAGATAATTAGGAAAGTTCAGTGTATGAAACTAGGCAAAAAAGGCAATTGTAGGTTTTTTGCATTTGTCTTTCCAAACATATGCAGAAGTATCCTGATGAGTAGCTGGTTTTCCAGTACTAAGTGCATTAGTTAACAATAACTTGGCAGCTACAGGGTGAAGGTTTTTTTCTTTTAGGACAAACATATTTGGCACATACCTGTAAGGAAGATCAGATCTCCTTGGAACCAGTTCTACTGGATGAACAGCATGTTCATGCCCCTCTCCATTCTCCAAGTTATCTGAAGTAGAATGCACAAGCATTAGCTCCCTTTGGGTTACACTGCTCAAAAATACAATAAAAGCATCAATCCAGAAGTTAGATAGTTACCTTTTTAAACAGAAACACTCAACTTACTATGGCTTTTAAACACTTTTAATTCTGTCTCCAAAGCTGGCTTCTGCAAATTGACCCTGAATGCCAGCAGGATTATCAAGACTTTTAGGAACACAGTCATCATAAAGAAATTAGTATTGCACAATTCCTAAATTATACTTGATATGTACAAAGTTACACAGCTATGAGGAGACTTCTTCCTGAAGTTACTTGGGCAAGCCCCCAGAGCTGAAGCATCTCATGTTCACTACAAATCTGGTTGTGACTTGCAGGAGAAGAATTTGTGGTTAGCACATGAAACCTTGCAAAGACATCAGTGCTTTCTGTATCCCCAACAGAGCACCATGGCTCTTCTGTGGCTCCTTACGTCCCTGTACCAACCATCAGGAATCAGACAGATGAGATATTGTTTAAAAAGCATGAATAATGTGCATCTGTCCACAAATCCACAGCTGTCAGCAGCAAAACATCCACATGACTGAGCCTGTCATGGAGGAAGCTCAGGTGGAAGCAAACAAATATGATATTTTATTGATGTGTGCTGCATCTCACTATGTAAGGGCTACAAAGACACTAAATAGACAATCCTAAATAGACAGACAATCCTAAATAGAACAGATTTAAAGAGCAGAAATTCTAGAAAATAAGTTAATGGGAAATAAAGCTATGTCAGAAAGTCTATGGAGGACAAAAATTATTTTTGAAGCCATAGAGTTTACTGAAGCTCAGTTCCTAAAATACATACTCCATTTTTGTTCCGAGCAACTGCATTTTGATGGAGGCTTTCTCATTTCTAGCTACATAGAGATATGATGTGCCCTGACACATCCCTGGAGCACTGCAACAGATTAATACTGAAAACACTGATTAACATACAACACTATAGATTATGCTATTTCAAATATATAAAGATATGTGTGTATGTGTTATCTATTGGTATTAAAACCTATAAATCAAAATATTGGGTTAAACTATGTATTTTACCAAAGCTCATTAAGAATATTTTAACAAAAAATATCAGGATAATAATGAGCTTGCCAGTTAGTGGGCTTGGACTGCCCTCAGCATAATCCAATGCATGTTCCTTCTGACATCACTCAGCCAGCACAAGTGCAACTCACAAAGTCAAGCAAACAAGTGCCTAAGGCAGCTTTCAATCTCAGCAAATTATCAGTATGGCTGAGGAGAAGGCGCCTGGATCTGTGTGTATCCCTGTCCCTGACTGGCTGGCACTTGGGCTGTGCACAGTGCCCTTAGTGCAGCTCTCCCTGCACACTCCATCAGCTCCTCCAGTTCAGAGAGGTGAGGCCAGGAGAGCAGACAGTGGGGTCTGGGGGGCTTTCCTAGCACTGACGAACTGACTCCCTTCACCAGCCCAATGCTGTATCACTCTCACTTGCATGACAGATCACAGAGAGGGACAGAAGGAGGACTGAAAATATCTGTCCTGTGCCCAGAAGGGATCTGAATGGCCCTGTTGATCATCTCCAGCAGGCTGAGCATTGCATTCAAAACAGTCCTGAGATGAAGCAACACAAAGCAAAGGGCTTTGGTGTCTTAGTAAGAGTAAGCCCCTGGGGCAGTTACAGACATCCTCTTTGGTCATCTACCTCCAGAACTAAGTCTTGGCTTCCACTCCTGATGTTTTATTTCAGATGAAAACCCCCAGCTCATGCTTCTGGTGCCTCCTGACATTGACTAACAGCAACTGGGAGTTCCCATTTCACACACCACCCCCCACAGACAGGAATGGATTCTTGTATTCCAGATTTCAACCTGTGGCTGCTCCCCAACAATTCTGTTTTGTATTTAAGAGATCACAATGACACAAACTTCTCAATGTTTTCTAAATCCACTCCTTTGTAAATTGAAAAATATGGCAGCAAGAAAAAAAAAAATTTTTTTGAACCACCGGCACTTCTTACGAGGTATATATTTTAAAATACAGCAGAGGGCAGTGCAGCATTATTTTATGATTCACATTTTTGTCACTGAACTTACACAACTGAATTACACTTTTTCACAGGCCTTCAATCAACAATCCATTTAAACTCTTGGACAGATAACGTGTATGCAAAAAATATGAAATACACTACAATTAAAACATTATTTGAATACCACTGGCAAGTTTTTAAATAGTCACTGAAATTAGTATATCCAAAGTTCAGTGTTTTATGAACAGCTAGAAAAATATCAACAGGATGAAGGGGAGGGCTGGTGGACTTTTTTGTTTGTTTTTGATACTAATACAGATACTGTAAAAGCACCAGGCCTCAGGCCTTCTTTTCCATTCCTTTAACCATTTGTATTGCTTGCTTCAAATGGTCCACATCATTCTTGAAGTGCCCTCACTGCATACAATACTGCAGCTGAGGCCCCAGGAGAGCCAATGGAGCCTACATTTACAAATGACATTCTCATTTATGCACAGCTCTGTAAATTCACTATCAGCTTGTAACCTGCAGAAAACGATTTGAGGATATTGGAACATGAAAAATTAGATGTGAGCTGGCAACTGGTGCTCACAGCTCAGAAAGCCAGTCTTAGAATAAATGATCTCTGCAGATCTCTTCCAACCCAAACCATTCTGCAATTCCCATACCCTTTCCTGAGCAAGTATTTCCTAGTCAATCATTCCTCATCCTGTATTTCAACAATTAACAGCTTCTATTGAATTGCTTCCAGCTGCTCTCCAATCTGTCAAGATTAATTTGAATTCAACTTCTCAAACACACTTGGAGCTTCTTACAGCTTAGAGGTATCTAGAAAACAGATATGGATACTTTTTATACTACTATCCTATTCAATAAGATAAAAGACCACAGATTAATCCCAATGAAACTCTGGTTTATTTTGACATTGAAAACTCCCCCTTAACTAAGTAACTACCCAAATGGAGAACTCTGATTCAGAACTAGAATAAATTTGAATTGAACTTTTTGTCCCAGTTGTGCAGCACCTGCTGTGTCTGTACAATCCTATTATTTCTTGCCATTGTCCCATGTTAGAATAAAGGTTGCTGGAATTCTGTGAATTGAAATGCCCACCTGTTTGGGAGTAAGAGCCAACAGCACTGACAGGAAATAGAACATCTGAGTCATCATTCAGGACCTGCAGAGGACTCCAACTGCATATCTGAGAATTGCATGTGACTATTTCACGAGGCCTATTTAGAACAAACAAACAAACAAACCAATCTATTTATACAGCCAGTATTACTGTTCATAATGCTGATATTTCTTTCAGAGATACCACTGCAAGAAAAATCTTTATTTCAATCTGCCTGCCAATTTCTTGGTCAGCCATACATTAATTCATTAAAGACCAGACATTCCAAAGCAGATGAGACAAGCAGTGCTTGCCTTTTCCTCTAAACAAATTTCTGTCAGAAAGAAAGAAAGCATATCAGTTTCTAAAATTATTCTTTCTCTCTCAGTTTTGTCCTGCCTTGTTGAACTGTCTACACTCTGATGTAACAAGCTTACTCTGTTTAAAATACACATTTTTATTGTAAAGCCAAAATAGAATTGTTAGCATACTAAGAATAAGGACACATCAAGTAGGCCAGAACTATATCCTGGCTATATCCTGCCACAGTTTTAACAAGTGAGAACTTCACGGAGAACAAGAAGTCTGATATCTCAAAATTTGGGGTTTCAGTGAAATTTAGAAGCAAAATATCATCACTGCAGTGGCCCATATGGTTTAAACAGTAAAAAGGAAAAAAAATGAGAAGAAAAAAAAAAAGAAAAAAGAAAAAAAAAGAGGGGAATAAAAAGGTGGGGGAGGAGGAATAGGGAGGGGGAAAAAAATTAATTTGCTGTACCCATAAAAGAAGTCACTTCATAAAAGAAGGGGAGTCGTGGAGGGGAAGCATGGAAATTTTACCACTATCTCCTGCACCAATACTGCAAGCTTACTTTTCAGAAGCTTCAGTTCCACCTTCTGTGCCTTTATTTCCTAATGATTTTCCATACAGCTCATCCTCATCTGCATCTTCATCATCAATGCTCTTCACATCCAGTTTCTGGTATTCATACTCTCCATTCATGAATACTGAATTGTTCTTCCAGGAATGGTTACTTTCACTCCCATTCAGATTTTTTCCCAGAGTGCTTTCAGATGAAGACAATGCAAGAACTGAAGATCTGTCTACACTCTCCTCTGAACTTTCTCCTGCAATCACAGTCTTTGTACAATCCCCCAAGTTTTGCTCATCTTCCTCTTCATCAAATGAGATAATATTAGTCACCCTCTTCTTCTTTTTTCGATCTTTTTTGTATTTCAAATCTAGTAGTAATACAAAGTTTTTACACAGTTTAGAAAGGAGGAATAATATATGAAACCAGATTTTTTTCTTAAAAGAGCTCATGTACTAACTTACTCTAACCAAGAAAAAAACTACTTAGATCTACATGGCATTCATTATCTTTCCGTACACATGAGCTTCTAAATCTCTAATTACCAGCTTAATTTTATAAGTTTTACATAATTCAGATTTTAAGAGATATTCTGGAGATGCATTCATAACATGATTCAATTGAAACTGGGAAAAAAGTTCTACAACTCGAGAAATTAAATTTAAAATAATAAGTTAGCCTTCCTGTCACTTCCTCCTATGGACTACACCTAGCATATAATGCAGAGCAGGCCTACACAACAGAGAAAACATGAAGAAAACTTTCAGACGAAAAACTGAAAAGAACAAACTCACAACACAAACAAAATCCACAACCTGCAATCAAATAGTTTTGTCTATACTCTAAAAATTGAATAGTCAGCTTTCAGCTAATTAGTTCTTGGCCTAGAAATACACTGAAATTCTCTCTGAATACACCAGATGTATCCAGTGACAGCACTTATTTTTACACTTTTACCTATTCTCACTGAATCTGATGTGCACGTGAAGCCAAATGCAAAGCTGAAGCACTCCAAGAAATATCAGAAATCGCTCACCAAGACACCTCACGCTGGGACCAAACTGCTTGGTTTAATTCAAGTCCAGCTGTTATATATTCACACAGCACACTAACATACTTTTAGAAGGATGTTAAAACCCATTCTGGTTGCAAATAGAATTACAACAAAGAACACAGACTTCAATGGAAACATCTGACTTGCTCTAATGTTCCACATATAATTGCATTTGAACAAACTCAATTTTTTTAAGTGACATTTCATGTTCTGTATACACATGTGCTGTACACATCAGGTACATCATGTTGTGGAGTCATATGCACCATATGGTCAATTACTGTCTTTCATCTTGCAAGGCTATTCTATACTAACAAAGTTACCCCAAGTCAAATATCGCCTCCAATTTTAATCTCATTTAAGTGCTACACAACAAAAGCTTTACCACAAGTTTGTTCTAAAAACCGTGTTTTAAGACAAAGTCTATTTTGAATGCCAATAAAAATCAGATTTTATCTCAACTTCTGTTCCTACCAGATTCTCATGTGAAGTTTGTGCTTTTTTCTCACAACCAAAACAATTTATTGCCTAAACTCAAACCTTGTTTCTTAATTGAAAAGCACAAAAAATCTTCCTGCTGTTTTGTACTTTTACAAAGCAAAACAAACTTTTAGCACAACTTCCAGAAACCAAGATAATAAAATATTACTTTTTTAATTTTGGAACAAAAATTATATAACGAAAATCACATTTTCCTTGACTGATTTCAAATAATAAGAGATTAAGACTTTGAGTATTTGCTAGTAACTAACATCATAAAAGCGGGTTGTAACACTAAGAACTCAAAAGGTCAAGAGTGTATGAGTAAATGTTCATTTTGGCAATTATCTGCTTTGCATAGGAATTCAGACTGTAAACACAGTCACTACTCAAAGCAGATTACAAGCAAAGATTTGAATCTGATATATAACAAATTATATAAGTCACTGTATGTCTGACTGGCAAGATGGCAAAAGACAACACTAAAAATGAAAAATCATTACATCACAAACTTCAAAGTTTCAATTAACTTTCAATTTTATGAACTTTCAATTTTATCAACAAGAAATTCAGGTCACAAGCAAAGCACTACCAAAAAAACAGTTTAGCCTCCCTGTCACAGAGATATGAGAATGCCAAAATACACAGTATTCACACCCAATATTTCCAATTCCATGCTTTTTAATTACACACTCAACTGGTTTGTATGCATAGTGCACTTATTTTTAAGACTTCTGCTCTACAATAAAAGTACATTTAAAGTAAATTAAAAAGTTATTTAAGCACACTCAAATATTTCCTAAGTTTCTGAATGGCACTAACATTCATAAAACTTACCAGCATTTACATTCCTGGGCAGAACAGGCAGGGGGTCAGAGTCCTGGTCAGGTTTTATGAGAATGGAGACTGCAGACGAGGCAGTGATCTCCCGCAGGAGGCTGCTGACACCCTGAGTGGACTCCTTCAATAAGGAAGTTACATTTTGTGTGGATTCCTTCAACAAATCTGACACAGTGGGTGTGCATTTGCTCTGCCCATTTAAATCCTTGTTATCAATGTTGATAGCAAAAAGAATGGAGTTCAGACCTTCAGAAAAAAGAAAGGGGAAAAAGAGATCAGAAATGCACCATATACTTCACATGCAAATTATGAACACAGAAGCTAAGGATTAATCAAATTGTGACATGGAAAACATTTTTCCCAAAAATTTCCCACAGTTCCCAATGCATGAATCCTTATTCTTTCATGTACCATTCATTCTTTTCTAGATTATATTCAAGTTGATGCAATCAGTTCTGAATTCTTCTTGATGGCTGTTCAACTGCACAGTAAATAATCAAAAAGTGCTGAGAACTCATTTATTTATAACCTTTTATTTAAACCCATTTCACTGCAACTTCACTATTGGTTGGTTCCTATATTCTATTAGCAAAAATGCCCAGGAACCTTGTCTTGAAAATGAAGCATGTGACCATGTATCTGAAAAAAGGGATATAAAAGGTAATAATACATCACTTCCGTAGATGAACCCTAGAAAAGTAAATTATTTGCTATCATTCCTTACTCTTACTTTCCTTATCTGTATTTACCTGCAGTTTTGATCTTACTATAAAATTCCATCATTACTCTTTTCTAGTCAGGAATAACCCACTTTGCTTCTCTAAATTGCACTAGTTTTAAGTCAGCCTTGACTGTTGAAGAGTTGAAAAATTTATGTGGAAAATTTTTGAATTGTAGGAAGGCCAGATCCAGGATTTTAACAATCCATCAATTCATAGCATAAATTGACATAATACCCTGGCTGTGCCTCTGACACAGGTTCTCCACATAAACAGAGTATTAGAGAAACTCCTCACAAGCAGAAACAGATACAACATCCCAAAATGCAGTAGTTTTCCAAGAGCAATTATACTGAAGAGAAAGCCTTACCAGCTGCCATCGTAGGGATCATGCTAGAACGTTCTTCATCCATCATAAAAGACCAGTCTTCATAGAAGACACTGTAATTTAAAGGGGAAAAAAAGGACATGCAGTGCTATAGTAATATATACTTCACTTCTGAAAGACAAAAAAAAATCTGAAGAATAAGTAGGAGCACCCCAAAGGATGAAATTTTATGTCACAGTAACTCCCTGTAGCTCTGAAATTGATAACTGTTCAGATGGTTCTAAAAAGACATGTTAAAGAGTATTTTTTCTTTCGTTTTAGCTCTGCACTTTTTTAGGGGAAAGAAAGCCACTCACGGTCTGGGGGTTTACGCTGCATTAACAATCACAGCATCTCTCTATACCTATTGCTAAACATGTTTTGTGTAAGCTTAGAACACATGAACACAAACAAAACAGAAATGTTCCTTTTATCTTGAACAACCTGCTGTGGTAGAAGGGGTCCCTCCCCATGGCAGGAGGGGTGGATTACACAATCTTTAAGGGTCCTTTCTAATCCAAGTCCTACTATTCTGTTGTTCTGTGACCTGTTTCAATATCCAAACCCATACCAATTGCCCTAAATAGTTAGGGTGAACTATGAATTTGGATGTAAAAAACCCACATTTTTTCACTGTGAACACATAAATTTAGTTGTGCTAAGCCTGGTTCTTTCTAATAGCAAAATGCTGTATTTTTACTATCAATATTCAGTTAATTAAACAACAAAACAGATAGCAAGAAAACCCTCAATCTATATATTAAACAACTCTGACAGATTCATTTAAAAGTTTCCAAAACATATAATTGGGGATGTAAACTGATTCTGTAAATCCCATTGGATTCTAACATTTAAGTCTTAAAAATTCTGGAATAAACCTTTTTAGAAGCAGCATTACAATGCAGTGTGCTGATAATCCTGATACTGTGCAAGTATTGCTACAAGGATGAGAATAATTAGTGACACAGCAATCCAAGTCACTAATTTCCTAATGGTTTTCAGACCTTTTTCTTTATTTCATTTGTCTTTATTTGATTTCTCCAAAATCTGTTTTGCAAGAAAGCTACAGATGACCAGAACAAACTAGAAATTAAAAGGAGGTACTAATGAACTCAGCTTGGGCAATAATCTTATCCACTAGTTCCATCAATCTACGCAAATGAATAAAATGCCTTTCTGCCGAATTCACTGGACTTGATCAAGCCCAACAGTTATTGATTAAAAAAGGAAAATGCCTCAAGTTTTCATAGAGAAAAGAAGTAAAAGCCATGAGAAAAAGGCAAGACTCAGCTTATGAACTTAAGTGCATTTTGCACTTCCAAAGTATTTCAGGATTTCACAACATGTAGTGAGTTATTCTCCGTAACTGTAACAAAAGGTTCACTAACTGCTACCTAACCACTTCCCAGTGATGTGCAGCTGCAGCTCCCCACTGCTGCACTGCTGGAGCTCTGCAATTACAGGATCTCCAAAAGGCAACAGGCAATTACCACTCATGAATTGAGATCAGACACGGCTGCAATTGTGTACTATTTTAGTGGAATGAGAGAGGCACCTTAAAGCATGGTGTCCAGGTTTCAGTGAGGAAAACTGCTGAAAGAACAGGGAAGGGATTTAGGGAAGAGGTCACACGTTGATATAGGCACAAGCCACTACTTTAATGGCTGACAAACATTTTAAAATTTATTTTAAGTGACTTGACAGGCATAACCTCAATATATACCCCAAATTAACATGGGGTACTACTACAGCTGTGGCTTTTGGTTGGTTGCCTGGGGTTTCAGACATTGCCAGCACACTTCCTGCATTCCAAAGGGATCAGATACCGTACCTGAGGCGGCTCTTATCTGCAAGCAGCATATGAACATATCTTTCCAGGGAATGCTCATTCAAAGCACAGCGCAGCCAAGCCCGGCCTCTGCCGATGTCTGTAGTGATGGCCTTCAGAGAGTAGAAGCGCTGCAGCTCGTGTCTGTTCAGCACTTCTTTCACATAATACCAGAACACTGGCTCTGGAATTTAATGATTAATAATAACAATAATGACAACCACCCTACCAAGAAAACCACTAAGCTCATACCTGAATGCACTTACATGTGATTCATAAACAAACAGGTAACAATAGAACTTTGAACAAAGGTGAATCATTTACTCTCCTCCTGCAACCCACTGGTTAAATAAGTTATTTATTCCTACAGAACTTGAGCTATTGAAGGACTTAGAATTTTTCACTTCATTAAAAAAGCCACACAAATTAAAGGATTTGATCTGACACTTTTACATAGAATTCACATTTTAAAGCAGATTTAAGCTAGTATTTTATCCACAGGTTCATATGTTCAACTAGAAACATATTAGGGAAGGGAAAAGATTTCTTTAGAATGCTGTGTTAGTGCTGATGTGAAATGTTGGAAGGCAGGTCCAAAGGAACAGGTAGCTCCAGAATTTGTAGACATGTAAATTACAAATTTATGTTACTTTAGAAAACAGAAATGTTGCATTTAAACAGCAAAAATATCTCTTTCCATTAAAACCACTTTCTGTGTACTTTTCCCAAATATTGATAAAAACTGATCAGTATCTTAATATAGTTCTGATTAAAGAAAAGAGAAACATCATGGTGAAGAGAAAAATAAAGGAATCTTTTCTTTGAATGTAGAGAAAGCAATAAAAACCAACCCAACCAATACAAGCAATATAATTTTTCTTTCTAAAATTGCATCAATAATTAGAAGTTAAACATATCTGACCTATACAGAATACTGCATTTAAAGAACTGAGTAGACAACGTAAAGAATGAAAACGTTTTAAAAACTTAACAGCACAATTACACAACCCTGATCCCTGCCAGAATTCAAAATAAATTTGCCACTATACATGATGCAACAGTAGGAAGTGCAAGTTTCTGAACAGCAACATTTCTAGAGAAACTGGGAATGCAAGTTAAACTAGACTAAGAAGCAACAGTCATTTTCACTGCTACTTCTACAACACATCAAGTATAAAGTATCCTACCAACAATCTGCAGTTTGGTGCAACGCTTCAAACTTCTTTTAGAAATTATACCACTCACTAGAACATAAGAACTAATTAAAACAGGGTAGCCACAATTAGCAACCTACCTGTTTCAGTTTTGCTGGAGAAACCTGCTGCCTGTTTGATTGCTGCTGCTGTCAGTGCCAATCCCCGGCTCCTCCTCAGGCCATGCTGGAACACAGCTTCAAACTGAGCACACAAACAGGTCACTCTGCAACAGAATTTTTAATGAACTCATGTAAAAGGAACTATAAAAAAATCATCGTGAAAATCAACTATGTTTCTATACAGCAACTTTATTCCAGATCTCAGAATAGGAAATGTAAAGTGAACCATTATCTTTTGGGCAGTGAAAGATCCCTCCTATGCAGTAATCTCATTATTTGCCAGCAGTATAATCTACTTATACCCACAGTCTCATCATAACAATTGAAAGTTGAGGCTCAGGTTACACGCAGAAGAACTGGCAATCAATTTGAGAAATCACCCTCACCTGCTAGAGGGGCTGTTAATCATGTTATTTCAGCTTCAGATCACCTACTTTTCATGCAATGTAATTTTTTGAGCATGTTAAATATTTTGTGCCATATGTTTTATGTCATTATGATGCAAAATCTAAGCGTGTTATTCTTAGACTATTTTACCTGCTATCTGAGTCTGAAGCAATTTCTTTTCTTCCTCCAAATCGTATTTGACACTGCAATAAACAGATTTTAAGATATTTTAAGAACTTTTTGTTACACTAAATAAATTCAGTTTTCTGAACTATTTCTACATATGAAACAAAGTCATATCAAAAATGAAGTAGCACAAAATAGAGCATTGCAAAATACAGCCTGCATCCAAAAAGTGCTCTAGAGCATCATGTTACACTAAAGGGCTGCCCTTGCAGGTCAAATAGATCCTTGCTAGGCAGAGCAACACACCTGCAGGTCCTTCAGTGACTTGAAAACTGAGTGGAAATTACTACTTTTGAGTCTTAAATGTGCACCCACAAAACCAAACACTGCTCCTACCCAGTTCAGTGCTACAATTACAGAACCACTCTTTAAAAAGCATTTCACTGGCTTACTTCTGAGGAATTCTTTTGCCTCCCAAGCTCTCCCAAATTGACTCCAGTCTATGAAATTCTACTTGTTGAAGTTCACGTTGACACAAATATAGACATACATATATAAATCACATCTTTAAATATACTTTAACCATTCACTAAAAATCTAGTGCAAAGAAAACAAGCTGCTACTCTAAAATGTTAACTAAGTTAGACTTTGCAGTACACTGCAGTGTAGTTCAGTTCTATCAGGATTACAAGAACATATATTCCTCATATATACTGTATAGTATTACATATATTTAAAATAGATCTATTACAAATATAACCTGTCCAGAACAAGAATTTTAAATAAGTACTGCACAGTAGTTGTTTGCTAGCAGACAAAAACTCTTTTACTATGAAAGCCACAATTTCTTCATTTCCTTTTCTTCTTTTTCCTTCTCTTTGTTAAAGAGAAACCAAAGACAGTCCCTGCTAGTAACTCTGAGTAAGCCACTGCAGAAATGCCTGTTGGACTTCTCACCTGTTTAACTGCATCCAAGAGCCGTTCTAGAAGAAATTGTCTTTTAGTGTCGTTGGTCTGTGAACCTGAAATCCAACAAAATCATATCATTTTAAAAGAAACTGTTTTTTAAAATACATTTGGGCCAACAGGAGGGTCTTTCTTTTGGGCCCTGAAAACTTTCTTCCCATGCCAATTATTCCATTAAATTAACGAATGTATTTTCTCTAAGTAAAATGATGCAGTATAAACTATGCTTTGAGGTTTCAAGCAGCCTTTCTCTAACAGGCAGCAATACTGTTTCAAATATCATCTTGATTTTTATTTTAGTAACATTTTGAAAATATATTTCACCAGTACCAAATACAGAAGAATTATTCAAGCTGATGCACAGCTTGTCCTGAGCTTCTTAGCACAACTACCAGTGTAGTACAGCATCACAGCAGTAGAAAAGAATGGAAAACAAGAATGAGACACCAGGAGTATCTTCTTACTGCCAAACCTCACTGCAGAAAGAGCTTTAAGTCAGGTGAACAGGGAGCAACTGCTACAGTAAATCCCTGAAAATTTAACTACCATAGTTCTTCTGATGAACACCTGTAAAATCTATTTTGTTACTATAAAAGGAACTATGCAAGACAATCTTCAACTTCTCAAGCTATTTCAACAATAACACAATACTTTGGTTGTTGGAAAATCCTTTATAAACTCCCATGAATATGGTAAAATTTATTCTTTAAAATAACTTTCATTTCCTCTGTAATTTCTTTATTCTCAGCTTAAGTTCAAAACATCCATCAGAAACCTCTGTGACCTCTCTGGAGTTTAAGTCATTCTATTCTCCTTTCTCTCTCAAAGAACAGACAACCAATATACATATAGACTGAAAGCCAATTATCCAGACTCTGCAGGAGCAAATTCCTCCCAACACTGAAAATCAAACAGCACACACTAGCAAACAGAGATGACACCAAAGATATGTGCTTCCTCTTGCTCTCCAACAGTGTGAGGTCCAAATCCCAGAATTTCCTAACTTCATAATCCCATTCAAAAAGCTTTTAAACCAGCAGGACACAACAGAATTTGTTGAAATTATTCTGCCTTTAAATATGTATACTCATATAACATATAAATACACATTATACTGATATAATGTATTATATATATTCATCTTAATCTATAAGTATATTAATAGAATTCATATTTCATATAGTCACTAAACAGAAGAAAACCCCCACAGTATGCCAGAATAATGAAAACAACAGGAAAAACATGCAAACCTAGCTGCTAAGCAAGCTTCTCAAAGCTGATTTTGCTGATTACAGGGCATTTTCAAGAAGTTGTGCTTCCCGTTTTGAACTCTGACTCAAACTGTGCAGACATGTGATGTGTGAGGTCTGGGGCTGTTAGTCAAGCACTCCAGAACACAAACAATGTTCAGTGCCAGCCCAGGACTCCAGGTTCAAACCCCACAACAAATGGGTTTTAACTTCCTAACAGCTATGCCAGTTATGCCAGTGTAAAGATAAAGCTAAATTCATATCATCCCTACCATTCCACTTTGTGCTCCTTCAGAGATTACAATTTATTAAACAATATTCAATGTTCTTACTTTTGGCATACATTGCCAAAATGGAAATATATACATGCCTGTATATCCATTTGTTTTATAATAAATAAATGGAAAACAATCTCAACTTTCAGAGCAACCTCTCATGTTCAGTAACACTGAATACACACAGCTCTGCAGATTTCCTCTGTTGTTTCAAAACTCATTACTCTTAGTCTTACACTACCCACATATCTGCAAGAAAAGGCATAACACAATATTTCTCTTTATATTAATAGCTTGAGACAACATCAGAACAAATGCATGTAATTAGTAATTTCATGACCAGAAAAACGTCTATCAGATGAAACTATTACGAGGTGCGCCAAGCTTTTCTTCCAAATGCAACACATGTTAGTTTTTAAATTCCCCTCACTTTGGACTCTTTGTATCTATTTGGTAACAGAAATGGTTTGCAACTAGATTACAAACTGTGATCAATATAAAAAAATGCATAAATACAGAATACCTACAGATGTTCACTATGCTAATTAATGTTCTAAACTACTAAAGCATGTGATACCAAACAACTTTACACAGACTGAGTGCAATGTGTATTTTCTCTTTATTTTACTTGTAAATTTGCACTACTAGCAATCATGACTGCAGGAGATGACAACCAGTAATTCCTGAAGCAGCTCAGATCACCCTCACCATCAACAGGGCTATAAAGCCATGTAATGTGTCTGCTGAGGGCTTAGCTGAGGTTTCTCTTCAATACACATTCTAAATTCCTATGCTAAAAAGAAATTTTACAGGTAGAAGAAAAAGAATACTCACTAATCTATTTTTTTAAAAAAAAAAACTGACAGATTAAGTTGTATCTCTTTTCCTACTGAGGGTATATTTTTCTTTGTAACAAGCCTAGAAAATATGGTAGTATTTAGTGATGGTTTTGTTTTCAGTAGGTGGAAGGTAAAAATACATCTCAGCTAACTCTATTGAAGATTTATTCTTCCACATTTTCATTTTCTAAACTAAGTCTTCAGAAAAAAAAAGCATATTTTCAGACAAGAGCACCAATTAAGTGTGATCAACTCCAGCTGGTTTAAAGACTAACAGTATATTACAAACTGACTAAAATACCCGTCTCCTGATTCAGAATAGCAGTAAAAACTGCAGCTACACAGACACAAATACAAAACACAGAATGCATAAAAACAGCCTTACTCAGAAAAAGGCTGTACTTAGACAATTGCAATAAAAAAGGAAGTTCATACAGGACTCTAAAAATAATTGTGAAAACGTAAGTATAAGGTTGAAAAACTAAGAAACTTAAGGAGACTCCTCCCACCAACATCTTCTCAGTCAAAAAGGGTTTAAAATAGGCTCAGGTACTGCACCCTCTTCTGACCCTCTGCACCCTCAGGTACTGACCCTCTTCATTTTCTGTTGTTCAAGGTCATGCTTTCCTATTTTTACAACCAACTTCTCTCCATGCTCTGACACAAACATCCCCACCTACAGCAGCAGCAAACTGGCGTATAAGTAAAGGAAAGCAAGACTTATATCCAGTTCTTCCTAGGTCAAGCCCTCTCCAGCACCATATGCAGCATAGAAGTAAAATAAATAAATCTCATATTGCTCTTATATAACTTCTATTTATGTCCTTAATGCAACATTTCAGACTGCAATCCCTTTTTTTTTCGCTCTAATGCAGGTTCTGATGGCACAAGTTTAAAATAAAACAAACACAGACCTAATTTAAATGCTACCTTATACTACGTTCTTATGATTCTACTGCTCTACTCCCCCCACCACGAGTTGTATTTTTAAGTTTTTTGAAACTGTCATTAAACAAATGACAACACCCCCAACTCTTGACAAGCACATAAATCTTGTATCCTTGTATTATTTGCCTTTAAAGTTTAGCCTGCTCAGCACTGTAGAATAAAATACAAGTATGTAATTAGTAAGCAGTATTAGTAATATTAAGGTGAGGCTTACATCAACAGTAATTTACCTTCACATCCACTAGAAATACACTGTAGCTAAAGAAAATAAACATTAACCATAATTACAGCCATTAAGAAGTTCTTCTGTCTATATTTTAGGAACACCTCTGTTAGTTAAAAGGGCTAAAACTGGACATAGAAATAGTACAGGCAGTGCTGTTACAGGCACTAAAAGAAGGATATGGTTAAAACTGATGAGATGTTAACATCAGCCATCTCCTTTACCTGAAACAAGCATGATAATGACAGATATTTCTCTGTTCTGATCAGTTTGACTTCTATTATTCTAGAAAAATACTTACAGCATTGTGTAACAGTAACATTTGTCACAGTGCAACATTAGGGGTTTTTTTGTTATCTGGCTGTCTAATTGAAATTGTTGGGAAAACCCTGTAATTCTTGGCAGGGGCTATACATGAGTGGTTACTATGCAACTGAACCACTACTGTTAATTTCACCCTAGGCATTACTCTGTTTGAAGTAATTAAATGTTTCTTTTCTCATAAACATGTATCTCTTCATTGTCTTAAAAAATATATTAAAGATAACAAAAATAACTACAAAATGAAGCTTTAGGCCACATGAGGTGTTACCTTGCCTTCTGAGTCACAGAATTCAAACAGAGCTCTCAAAGATTAGTCTCCTAGGAAGATTTAGGCTCTAATTTGCATAAATTTAAAAAAGACTATTCCCAGTTTGAATTTGAAGGGCTGAGGTTTTCCATATGAAAATGATGACTCTCACAAATTTTGTAATTAGGATTTAGTCTATATTGTGTCAATATCTGAAACATTTGAGAAACTTTCTTTTCCCACGCCTTGAAAGATTTCAGTGTTACTCGCATTTTTCACAAGTGGGTTCCCCCTTATAATCTTTTTTTTGCCTCATCCCTTCCACAAAAATCTTCTATTTTCTTCCTACCACAAAGGTGAGAACAAAACAGAGAAAAATACAAGTGAAGCGGTTTTAATTTTCAGTTCACTTTCAGAAATGTCTGCTCCCCACAAAACATGTAGCATTTAGTGACTCCAGTTAACTCCTCAGTTTTTTTCTTACTGCCTTTGGCAACAAAGATCACCATGTGTTAGATCAGGGTGGGAGATCAATGTGTGATCCAACCCTCAGGTGCAGAGTGTTGTCTGCAATTTCCATTGTGCTGAAGATGTACAAAGACACCCGTCAGTTTTCACTAAAGCACCTCCCTTCTCAAAAAGCCCCAAACAAATCCTTGCCAATGTGTTTAATATGTATTAAATAATACCACTTATCCTTTACTTCTACAAGAAAAGTCTATTCGAATTTTCACCTCTATCCTAATAAATAACTCTCCATGCTGGCCCATTCAAGAGGATCTGCTTTCTCCAGTCCTGTAGTTTATGGGTCATAATTCTCATGCAAAGCTTCAAGTATTTCCTTGACAAACACCTCAGAAAGCTCAGGATTTAGCACACATTAACCCTGAAGATTCAGCACACCCCCGCACCACTCCCCTCTACCACAGAAATTACCACATCCAGAGTCACCCTCACCGGGACTCAGTCAGACACAGCAACAGGCCCTTTCTCCACAAGCCGTGGTTCTCACCTCTCCCACCGACGGCATGCTCCTGAGCTCATATTTTTAGTTTTCTTAAACTCCTATTTTCTCTTGGTCATTTATTTCCTCAGGAGTATTTCCTATGAGTTTGCAACAGCTGAGGCAACACAGATGCCCGAGCCCAGCATCACTTTTGATGTGAGCCAGTGTCACGCTCAAGGGCAAGGACTTTGGATTTAAAACGGGGTAAGACACCACTTCGTGGGAGCTCGGGGAGCCGGAACGAGGAACGGGGTGTGGAGATAAGAGACCCAAGTGTTCCGTGCCTAAGCAAGGCACCAGGGAGCAGCGGAGGGGAGCGAAGGCAGCACCGCTCCCGCCCGGGCCCCCCGGCACACTCTGCCCGCGCCAGCCCCCACAGCGCCCGGCGGGCCCGGGGCGGAGGGGCCAGCCAGGCCGCACTCACCGCTCATGGTGCCCGCGGGGCTCCGTCCGCCGGAGCCGCCGCTCTCCCGCACAGCCACGGCCGGGCCGGCAGCCACCGCCCGCCCCGGAACCCGCCCGGCGCCCCGGAAGGTAAACACGGCCCCGGGAACGCCGCGGAGCGCTTCCCGGCTCGGGGCTCCTGAGCGCGGCCCCGCGCCCTCAGCGCGCCCCGGCCCCGGAGCCGCCCGACCCCTGCGGGGCAGCAACGCGACACCGCGAAAGGAAGGGTGAGAAAAGTGGAGATAAGGTGTCTCTGCTGCCGCATGTGCTGTGCAGGGTGGAAGCTCGGAAAGGCTCGTTAAATAAACAAATGATAATAATAAATGTCATAAGTCTCTAGGCCTATTTGACAGGTTTTGGTCCTGTATGGCCAAAACCACACAGAGCACCTGACTCCCAACTTGCCCCAAACTTTGTGTCAGCCTCCTAAAGATGCTGTAGCAGGTCAGTTGTAGATTTCATGCAATGAAATACTTCAATTCATAGTCATCCATGCAGGAACTTGAAGTAGAATGTTAGCTACAAATAAAGATGATTGTTGTTGTGGTTGCTGGTGTGGTTGTTGCTTCTGTTGTTGCAGTTTTCCAGGAATAAAACTGGCCTAATATTAGGAAAGTAACATTAATGCTTGGAAGGCAAGGTGACAGAAATATATTCGTAATTTTAGGCCACAGAGTAGTCTAGCATGACTAATTACCCATCCTTGTAAATGTAACAAGGGTAAGTAAAATAATGAGTAAAAAAGAAATAAATCTCAGTCTGAAAACACTTGGCTCTGAAAGGAAAGCCTGTACTGCCAGGAAATATATGGGATTGCAGTAAAGACCATGAGCTGGACTTCAGTGACCCATGTGGGTTCCTTCTGACTCAGGACATTCTGTGATTGTATCTAGGACATTCTGTGATCTGTGCTCCCCAGCACCACAACCTCCCTTAGGGTGACCCAGTGATACCTTCTGAACCCAGGGGCCTCCACACTCTACAGGGTATCCATCTTTAGAACGTTTCTATTTCAAGTGTTGAAATTACTCTTTTCAAGACTGGGGATGTACTGTAGGTCTTAATTTCTGCCTCTTGGAACAGTCCTTGTGAACCATTAAGTAATTTTTGGCACAAGATCTGAGTCTAACATGAACATACATATTTGCAAACTTGTTTATTTTGTATATATCTGCTGTAAGTAGGTACAATCTGTAAAGGCAGAGAAAGCTGTCCTATGTAAGGACTTTCTGAAATAAAAATTCCAATAACTAGTTGAGTGCTTGAGAATACTGTAGAAGTACTTGACTAATTAAATACTAGAATTAGAAATAATATGACAATATTAATGCATGCACAATAGGAAATCTCTAAGAATGATGTACTACCTTCTCCACTGACTGCAAGTATTAAGGTTTACAGCTATACTGGAATAACTAATTAATTATTACTCAGTACAAATACACTTCTCTCCCAGTCATCCAACACCCAGAACATAGTTATAATAATCACAAGATTTGGTGGTAACTAGAACAGCAGCTCGTTCTTCAGTAGCTGGTAATGGGAATGAAGTTTCACAGCCAGTCTGAGGTTTTACCAAGCCACAGTCACTGCAAGTGCATTCTTCCACTGAATACATTAATGTTTCACTTGGAAGTGTGTGTCTAATTTCTTCTGAATTCACACTGCTTTCAGTATTAGCCTTGAGAATATTATTCGGCTCCACAGAGGAGTCTGTAAATATACAGAAGTTAATTTAGTACATACATCATGCTATACTAAACAAAGAGCTATTAAAGATCCAAATCTCATTATGCTACAACTATGTTCTAACCTCAGTGAAAATTTTAAGGTATAGTGAAAGTTTTAAAATGTAGCTACATATGATCATCTTTTGTTCTATGAAATACAACCCTCTACTTCAGAATAAGCATTGAAGTAATTCAACACGTTTTTTAATCAGTTATTTATTGTCTGAAAACTCACAAATATAGTATTTGTAAAATGGAAAAAAAAACCTTTTTTCACCTTCACAAAATATGCCACATATGCTTCTCACAGACTACAATATTAAATAAAATTATTTAAAGTCTTATAAAACTAAAAGATAGTATTGAATGTGTATCCTCTGCCTGGGAACAATTCCTTTTGCATTCAGTGAGGGTGAAACCCTTATAAAGTCTTTTCCTTTTAAGTTTTCATAAATTATTTCTCAAACAGAAGCAAGTAAGCCAGGTATGAATATACAACAACACAATCCTCACGGGATCCAGAACCAACAAAGAGAAAATGCTGGTTTTGCAAGTCCACATCTGGATATTTATTCCTTAATAACTATGATAATTTCATGGAGACTATTTGAGGAATACCAAACAATCCAACAAAGACCAAACAATCTAACAAAGGCAGTCATGAGACTCTGGAATATATACAATGTTTTTACATGTTAAGAGTAGTTAAAATGTACAATAATCTAAAATTATTTGATGAAGAATTTTTTCACCTGTGTTTTCCAGTTTTTCTTTTAGTTGCTTTAGGTGCTTCCATTTAAACAGGACCATTAAGGTAAACAGAGTGAATATTAAAATCAACCCTATGCCCAAACAAATCCAAAGAATTCCACTTGAATCGGTACCTTATGAAATAAAAGAGATGCATTACATTAATCATAAACAATAACTCATGTACAGTAAACATGTCCAACACATCAAACCTGAATGTAAGATACAACATGAAGATGCCCAGCACAGCCACAGAGTATTGCAGAAATCCACTTACTCTTCTCACAGTAGCTTTCACAGGAGGGCGGTGGTGCACTGGAACACCGGAGGTGACAAGGAGTGCAAGAGAGCAGCAAATTATCAAAGTATTCATTTTTGGGGCACTGTGCCATCAGGGGCAGTTATTATGGAACTACAAAGCCACAGAAGTTGTAAAAGAGCAAGGATCATCTACAGAAGGCTTCTCAGTTCTCAGTTTGAGCAACTCTAAGAACAGCTAGCAGTAGTAATGGACTTCCATCACAGCTCCACTACATGGGATCATGTTACAGAAAAGGATTTAACTCTGAGGTCCCCTGCTCCTTTTCTGGCAATTCACAATTTTAGAAAAACTGAACAGCTGCACCAAGATAGTTTTCATGTAAATTTTGTCTGAAACAGAAAATGGTTATTTATAGAAGATGTTTCTAGAGCAGGTGCTAAGTACTGCAAACTGTAGAGAAGAAAGATCTCCAAACAGGAGTTCATCATAATTGTTCTTTTCTCTAATACTGGGGTTTTTTTTTCATGGTGATTGCTTCTCAATTCCGAATTAGCCTCACTTATCATCTATTAGGGCTTGGTTGACATTTTTGCTTAGTTCATTTTGGGAGTTATAGCTACTTTTTTTTGCTTATAACCATATTTCTATGAAAAATTTAATAAGATTACATTCTAATCATTAAATAAGTGCTATATTAATATTTTACAATTTTGATTCAAAACATTATCTGCATTTTTCACTTATTTTTCCACAATACAGAACTAGCATTGGGCTAATACTGCAGTACCCAGCATGGAAAAGTAAGTTTATAGGATGTCTTCTTCCCAGGTAGTTGTATATACAGTGAATGTAACATTTCTGGAAATGTATTTGGTCTCCTCACAGGAAAAATAAAAAGCTTTGACTACAGACTGTCACAATCAAAGTAGTTTACACAGCTAACGTGTATCTTGATGTTTTATTCTAATAGAATTTATTTTAAATACAAAGTTAACTAATAATTTCTAGCAAGTAGCAATAACTGCCTCTATCCAGTATCACTGCCACAGACAGATCAGAATTACAGGCTCTCTCTCTGTATCATATTTAAGTTAATTGTCTTTTTGACTACAGAAATATAAAAGGAAAACATTGTATAAGGAGTTGTAATTTCAAGCCACATTACTATGAGCCTTATTTTCCCACAAAATGCACCATGTGGGAATACACAAACTGTTTTTAGTGGAGCAGTCTAACAGATCTGTATTCTAGTCTCCAGCAGATGGAAATGGTTATTGTGGCTTCTGCACTTGTTTGTATGGGCCAGGTGCACAGCTCAAGGCTTTCTATCACAGGCTCTCCTCCCTCTTCAAGATTAGTGGATAAATAGGAATTGATGAAATCTGATTTAGGTGTGACAGAAGAAAATAAGGGTAGAGACTGTGGGTTATGCCAAAACTTTCTCTAGGAAGTTAGTGCTAGTGCTGAAGTCATAAAACTGGTTCTGCCTTGCAGAATCACACTCTGAGGGAAGAAACCTCAGTTACGGCTGCAATATCATTCTTGTTTCTGATGAAGCACCATTTGGTACTTTATGCACAGAGCAATTTCAGGTTTTGCTTTTAAGATGCTGTTTAGCCTTTTCAGCCATGGAGGGGACAATCACATTCTCAACAGTGATCTCAAGAAAGCAGATACTCCTGAAAGTATCTTCATGGTATCCATAGGTACAGTAAGTGAATTTCAGAATAGATAAGCTGATCCAATTCTTTTATCCACTGACTTCAGTGAAAGATCCCAGCCTTTGCTGCACTCCTATAGGTACAGTAAGTGAATTTCAGAACAGATAAGCTGATCCAATTCTTTAAGCTTTTATCCACTGACTTCAGTGAAAGATCCCAGCCTTTGCTGCACTCCTGGATTACTTTTCCAGGGGTGCAAAACCTTACATGTGTCTTTGTTGGACTTGGTTATGCACTCCTGCTCTACATGTTGCTGTGATGTACCCTGATATCTCCTCAGTATGCTATCGGTATTATTCATAAAAACTGTAAAGGGACTTTGCAAGAGAAATGTTGATCTCAAAGCAAGGAAAGAAATAACAAAACATGTCTATGTCTGGAGGCCACCAAAGATGTGGTTAGATTATATACAGATAAGCTGATTAAATGTTTTGGTGTTAGTGAAAGGGATAGTCCTGCTCTTCATTCTATGTACTCTGAGACGTGAGGAAGGGCTGGAGGGCTTACCTGACCACATGGCAAACAGCTTTAATTCATTAATCCAGTCAGTTCATGGAGTTTTACATCCTAGGCCCTGAAAAAAGGCCTGAAACAACACAGGGAAAAAATGTATAAAAACAGCTGATCACGTACTGGTGACATGCAACTAAGTCCACCAGAGAAATCCATTTGGTAAACTAATGCACCAATGTCTTAATTTGAAAAGTCCTGTCAAACTCTAAGTACAGTAGAAATTAATTTATGCCTAATTATTTGAGATTGTATATAAAATATTGTGGCAGAAATGCTTTCTCTCTCAGTTGGCCAGAAATTTTTCCTATATGGCTGGTTAGAGTTCAAACATATTTCTCATAAGACACAAAGTAAATACAAAGTAGTCTCATCTTTTCAGTCAAACTCTAGGAAACTTCCCCCCAAGTAAAAGACATAATACAGCTCATTCATCAGAGCTCTGGAGAATGATGCTGTCTCTTACAGCAATAATTCTCCCTCTGCAGTTGGACTACTATTTCCCAAAGTTTACAGCCTTTAAGGATAAGCTAATTTTTTGACAGCTGTGCCCCAAACCACAAATCCTTGATAATTAAGCAATACATTTTTCACACATTGGAAAGGGGGGAGCAATGACAGCAAAGGGTCTCTTCTGTGTCATTCCTTTAGCAGCCACCATTCAAGTCCCAGCCTTTTTCCCTTGGCTGTACACAGTGCCAGTGATGTATGCAATGACAAAACACAGGCAACAAATGGTTCAAAAAACGATGAGGAATTGTGGTTGCCATGGCCTGCTGCCTTTGTTTTCTGCACATCCTAACATTCAGAAGTTCCTCTCCTCAAGGGCATGAAAGCAAGCATGTAATGAATCAATCTTGATAAGCAATAGATCCCACTGACAGATCTCACTACACATCTAAAGCACACATTATTACAAAATCCATGTCCAGGAGTAAGAAAGACATTTTCTAGCTTAACAAGGTTCTTGTGCAACCTTCATTTTTGAGTAATTTTGATAGCAAGGAGTTAATATTAAAAAATAGCCCAAACAAAGCACTTTTTTGGGAGAAGTGTGCTATACCAACTGGCTTTAATATGAGATGCTTTATACCTGAATTGAGAAGCTGATTATAAAGTAAAATATTGGATTCAGCCAACTAATGAAACAAAAACTAGAAGCATTAAGAATAAATTCATTAAGTGACATTAAGGCTATTGTTACCTAGAAACTGTAGTTATGTTATGTTAATAATTGCTCCATTGCCTTCTATAATACACATTAAATCCTCTAAGCAGAACACCGATTTGTTATATGTAGACTATGCAAACACACAAAAAAATGGGATGATGGTACAGAATGATGGTTCTCCTACAGTGTTATTTACCTTTAGGGAATAATAAATATATACCTTACTTACCAGTAAAGTTACATTTCAGCTCTTGTTCAATTATGGGATTTACAGAGCTTGCACTGGCTTTCCAAACAATTACATGTTGATGCTAATAAATGCTCGCTTCTTTTAATTTTGCTTCAAAAGGATGGCAGAAATTAGCAGAGTTGGACAAAATAAGAAAGGATTTATTAACTACAATAACCATTTAACCATAAATCACAAAGTATTGCCAGGGAAGTATTTCTGCAGTTACATTACTGTAATTGAAATTCAAAAACTCCCCAAGATATCCTCTAAGAATAATTCAGACAAGTTAAGCTGGCCTGCTGGAGTTGGCATCCTTAGAGACAGCAATGGGAAAAAATGCAAGAAGAGAAGTGTCACCTGCAGAAACAACAGGAAGAAAAAAGAGAAAAGGAAAACCAATTCTCAGATTTGTTTCTAAAATGTATCTGTCTGACTCAGGAGTGACACCTGGAGACAATTTATAAAGACCAGTATGAACTATATTTTCTGTTTGTTGTTTAGAAGAATGCCTTTAGCACTGACAGTTCTAGTAGGGTGCCAAATTGCTGAACAGGATTTCAAGAAATCAAATCATTTTTACTGGTGAAGGGAGTACAGGTGAAGGGGACAGAGCCCAGCACAGAGCAGGAGCTGGTGCTTTCGAGTTGTACACAGACACACACAAATGTTTCAGACCTACAGCCTTCTCCCACGGGAGCAGAACACCTCCAGTTCCACGTTGCTCTGGCAGAAAATGGGCACACCAAGCACCAAACATCCAGCCAGAGCATTTCCTGCCATGAACCCAAATTTGACTGTTGGTTTCATTAAACATCTGGAGAAACTGAAGACTTCCAGAAATCCTCATCAGTTCTTACTTGTGACATGTTAAATTGATATTACATGACAGAAATCAGTAACCTGGAAAAGGTATGAAAAATTTTATCTTTCACTATTTAATTTGAAAAAAGCCGTTGTGAGTGTCTAAGCCAAAATAATAAAATGAGGATTCTGGATGGAAAATCAAAGTAATATCATCATGTCAATGATTAAGGATTGAAATTCATCTGTCACAGAACAATAACTTGAGATCTGTTTACCACACATAACATAAACAACAAAGTTTTGTTCTGGCACTGCTTCAGGGTTTCTCTGTTGAAGCTTGTGCCAACTTTTTTGCTTGACTGTACTTCAGAAATTCTGCTGGCATAATTACATAGCACTTACCAAGAGAAAGAGGGTTTTCTGCTAGGACTATAACATTCCCTTCACAAACAACACTAGCTAGGCTGACACAGGAATTCTTCTGGTTGTATAGTTGCTTCTACATTGATGGTTTTGTGCTGGCACAGCTCTTTTTTTCCCACTCACTAAGGCAACTGACCTACACTGTCAAATCTTATACTACAGGCTTGCTCTGATCCCCTCCAATTCTCTAAAGCTATTTACAGAATAAATCCCCCCCCAAAAAGTCTCTTATAAATCACCTCACCTCAACAATCCTAAAAATCTGCAAGAACAATGTACATACCCAAAACCACCACTTTTTCTTCTCAAAAGTTATTGCACTTCAAGGAACAGCAGTCTTACAGACAGTCATCTCCTAAAGCAGTATTAAAACTTTCTGAAACAATTATTTTCAGAAATCCATGTTGTGTGAAGTGCATGCTTTGACTGTATGGCTGGGAGGAGATAAGCTGTTCTAGGAATGGGGCACACACTGCTAGTAAATAAAAGAATGGAGCTATTAAAGGGTTCATCATGTTCATTAACTTTTACAAGCTGCACAGAACAATGCTGCTCTTAGACAAAATATTGTTTAATGTCATTTGCACACAGAGCAAAAACAAGAACAATGTGGATTTTGCCTGTTTGGTTCAGCACATTTTAATTAGACCACAGCTTTGAAAAGAGTGATGTTGCTGGTGCGACATTGAGTATTTCCAAAGTGGATTAAAGAGCAAAACAACAGAAGAGAAAATGTTCCCTTAAAATAGTGATTAAAATAACAATAGTATAAACACAGTCAATTAAATCACAGACAGTTTCTGTATCCCCCACTGTGTTCAAAGCTGACTTAGCTAGGAACCAGCTTATGGAACAGAGGAAGTGCACAGCCCAGGAAAGCAGTCCTAATAGACTGCAAACCCTTGGGGCAAAGAAGATACCTTTTCAGTTTTCTGACATTCCACATGTGCCAGAATAGTTATGTAACTACTGAGGACAATGCATAAAAAAGGAATTGTGCAAGCAAGTTTGGATTAAGCCGATGCTTGTTGGAATGCCAGTGACATTTTTATGTTGGTACAATAGTTTTTACAGAATGTAAATATAATTTATTTCTTAATGTAAACACATTTTGTAAATTTTTGTCCTGGCAATCTTAGCCAAATTCTCTGTCTAATCAGAAGTTTGAGTAAGGCACATTCACTTTTTTCAAATTCTCATGTATAGCATCACAGTGTCAATATGTGCTCTCTCTCAAGACAGGAGGGAAATTGTAATTGATTTAGCCACCACTACTCCAGAATAATTCCCCATGCAAATTGTTGTCTCTGGAATAAGAATACTGGCACAGAATACTTCTAGAGTAATTAAGCCTATTTAGAAGCAAGCTCACTTTTTCATTCTCACAATTCCATAATGAAGTAATTATTTTGTACAACAATGTTAACATGTTAACTAGCCATAGAAGAGCAGCTTTAAAAATCCCATGATGGTGTTATTCTTCCTTCATAACAATAATGCCATTCTGCTTTAGTCATTACTGAAACTAAAATCTTAAGGGATCTCTAATGGACAACATGCTCCCTCAACTGGAATTCCAGAGAATTAAGAAGGTGAAAAGAAAGCACAAGAAAATTCCACATGGAACCAGTTTTCTATTTCCCCCTCCCTTGAGACAGACAGCATGTAAAACTTTCCATATAAAACTTAAATGTTATAAAACTCTTACCATATTTATAAAGCAGGAGATCTGGCCTGGAGTTATTACAGTATCCAGCAGCTTCTCCATGTCAGGGAGTCCCTACAACCAGAAAGGCAGTGAATAAACAGTGTGTTAATACTCAGCCATTCCTCAGCACACTTGTGCTCCAGCCCCTTCCCCAGCTCTGTCCCTTTCTCTGGACATGGTTCAGCACCTCAATGTCCCTTCTTGTCATGAGGGGCCCAGAACTGGACACAGCACTCGAGGTGCGGCCTCAGCAGTGGCGGTGACTGCACTGGTCCTGCTGGCCATGCTGCTTCTAAGGAAGCAAATGGTTAATTTTCTAATAAAAATATTGCTGATCTAAAAGAAAGCATAAGAACAGAAAAGCAGAGATCTGGATTGTGCTTCACAAGATTTTTTTTCAGCTGTTTCAGTATTTTGATTGACATGATGCCTCCTCCCACTAATCCCACACCTGGCTTTCAGATCTCTGAAACCACACAATCTCTGCCTTTCTTCAAAATAGATTCCCTCCTGTCTCTAACCTTCCTAGTCCTAGCTCAGTCACTGTTTACATCATTTAAGTGATCTCACTCTTCCTTTCCTTGGATGCGCGTTCTTTGCTCAGCACATTCCTTCCACATTAAGCAATCTCTCTGCTCTTTACAACATTTTAACTGTCATAGGTTTATAAACTACACACAGGTTCTTCACAATGTGCACACCTTTGATTCTTTTGAGCTTTGATAGCCAGAAACCCACACATACAACAGTTTTGACAGAAAAACAACTTAACTAAACTATTCTCCCCCTCCTATTTTTCAGTCTGGAGTGTCACGGTATGGAAACCACAGAAGAAATTCTGTCTAAGGAGAAACTGTGCATTCAAAGAGAGGCATCGTGAGCAAAGATCCAACAACAACCCACCTTACACATCTCTGAGATCTAAACAATACAGGGTAACTAAGAACACTGCTGTGCATTCAAAGAGAGGCAAAGATCCAGCAACAACCCAGCTTACACATCTCTGAGATCTAAACAATACAGGGTAACTAAGAAATAGATCATACACACAGCTGAGAACTCTGAGCCTCCAATTAGAGTCACCTGGAAAAAGGGATGGCACTTGCAAAAAAAAAGATCTTTCAGTCTTTCTTTTTAGAGATACACAATCAAGGAGAATAAAGGTTGTGTATACACATAGAAGTGAGATACACACATGGCTATTTTTAAAAATAATAAGCTGAGCATGTGAGGTATTTGAGAGCTGAGAAGATGGACACAAAATTACAAACTGGCATTTTGGTGTAGCAATCAATGTATTTCTTTTGCTATCTAAAGGAACACCAATTAAATTTATGCCCTTTTTGAAGCCTGCAGTATGTGTTTAATTGTTCCAAAAGGAGCGATCAAAAAAGGCTTGAACTAGATTGGAGCCCTGAAAAAGAAGAATCCAGCTCCAAAGTACTGCCAACCCACAATGAAATGTGAGACAAATTCTAAATTCCTTTGTAGATGTGGACTAATTCTATGATTGGACTGCGAAACAGAGCTTATGCTCTGGTGCTACATTTGGAAAACCAAAGAAGACTTTTATTTGAAATTCTTCCAATGAAATAGCTTCAAATACATTTCATTGAGGGAATTCATGGACTGCAGTTCTGCCAATGCCCAGCACAGGGAGAGGAACAGGCCAGAAAGAGCATTTGTTAAATAGCAGTATTGGAACAACAAATCAGTAAAAAGATGTTTCCAGGCCAAGATATCTTAGTTTGGATTAGACATGGTCTTGTATAAATATAAAAGCCTCTTTACTCACTTACACTTCCACAAGCACCAGTAAAGCTCAGGAGAGGCTTGGTTCTTAATGAAGCCATCATGCTGAAACATAGTTGTGTTTTCTATTCTCTAGTTCTCAGCTACATCTCCACAGACTACCTGGAGAGAGAATTTGCCAGGGTTTAAGAACATTAATTTATAAGTTCCTGGCACCTAATCAAACTTCTAATAATTTACTTCTTACTTCCTGTCCTTTCTTTCTCCTAAGTAAATAAGTTGTTCCTTTGGCTTTGTTTTTAAAGGCTCTTTCTGACTTCAAAGCCATTCGAAATATCAGGCTACTCATTTAGGTGTGTAACTACTGTACACATTTGAATACCTTTAAATATCAGGGTATGGTTCACACTGTGTCACTCCAATCCCAGCCTGCTGCCACACCACAGAGGGAGTTGTATTCCATTCCTGCTCCTCCCAGTCTCAGCCAAAATGTTTCTTCCCGTGTTGCAGTAGCTCAGGAAGTTACTTGATGTCAAGGTAGACTGAGTCAATTAAATCATAACTCAGCACCTTAAAACAACTCTCTTTCCATTTTAAGGCTGTTGGTGGTTTATGGAATTTTAAAAACTTACCTGTTGGTGGTGAGCAAGTAACTTCTTGAAGCTATTAACCTGTTTGGAGCATCTAGTGAAAGCCATCTTTCTCTTCTGCTTCAGTTCACACGGCTAAATCGTTGGTATTTCATAGGTGTCCCTGCCAGGCTGCAAAGTGCTTGTGGGGGCTTGGGTGGAAGTCACCACCAAAGCACAGACCGCTGTTTCTAACACCACGTGAACAGAGCCCTCCAGGTTAACCCTAAGCTGGGCCAGACTCCTCTTTTCTAATCAGTCTTGATCACTGAAGTTATTAAGGACATGAGTGAATTTGTCTGGGTGGTTCTCAGTAAGAAAAGCATTTTAGCATTTTTTAAATGAAGAACTGGTATATTTATTCTAAACATTTTGATGCAAAAGAGATTTAAACAAGAAAAGCTTTAATAATGCATTAAAACCTCAAGAAAACAGGACCATTTACACTCCAGTGGATGTTTTGCCAGTAAAATTAACATAATTCCACTTTTGTTTTGAGTACCAGCTGTTCCAAAGTGGAAAAACAAACTACTAGCCCTGTTAAAAATTTAGTGTTTGAGTTTACACAATTCCTATGTGTGACAGCCTGCAAAACAGGTTTGTGCACTCTGAAGGACATCTGGCATCTTGAAATTCTGTGGACTAATTGTTTATATCCTAGCAAGTACCTAGGGAATAAGTACCTGTCAAGGAAGGAAGAAAGGTTGTGAAACACAACTAATTCTTTTCCCCTGAAATCAGTGGTATTATGCACCTCTGTACCTCTGATCAAATGCATATTTGGCCCTACTCCCCCTAGACAAACACAAAAAAATTATCACAACTCAGTGCTTTAGGAGCCATCAAAAGAAGGCCCATTTCAAAAACCTTCAAGAAGTTTTTTTAAGGAATGCCAAAATGTGTGCAAGAATTGCTGTCTCTGTGTTCCTTGTGCTGATCATCCTAAGGTACATCTTAGCTGCTCAGAAAAGGCAGCACCTGGCCCCAGTTAAGGCTTTCCTGACCTGTAGGCTGTGTCAGGGCTCAAACAAAACACCAGCTTGCAGTTATAAACCTGAGCTGTTCATGCTCACAGTGGCAGTAAAAAGTGCTCAGTAGCAAGTCCCTCTGTCAGCAGAATGCATGAAGCCTGCTGTGCACTGGAGTTTTGTCTATTATTCAGCACTCGTAATCCCTGAGTGCTGAAATGGTGCTACCTTGTTGCTGTACTATATGAAATGTATCAGACACCTCTTGGCTGATAAATGTCACCTAACAAGCAAAGGTTAGAAAGAAAACAAACACCAAACAATGCACTGGGTACTACTTTGCCTTTAGTTAAACAGAAAAGTGAGTGACACGCACAGCTGGGACTTATTTGCAGCTTGACAAAATTCCAAATATTACAACAGTAGCACAGGTGAGACTCTTCCTTAATTATACTTGATTTGAAAAATAGAGACTGACAATGCCTGAAAACTGGAGACTAACTCTGGGCCAGAGATAGGGTTAGGGTTAACCTCTCAGTGGTGCTTGAAGGAAAGGCTTCCACTTAGGCAGAGGTTTTTAATCTCTCACTATAAGTGATACTTTTTCTTCCAAAATGAACTTTCTGTGGTGTTAGTGGGGATTTGGTTTTGTTGGTTTTTGGGAGTTCTGGGGTTGTTTTTTGGGGTTTTTTTGGGTTTTTTTTTTTTCTTTTTTAAGTGCTACCCTGCACACTAATGTTTTCCCTGGTTATGATCTGTTGGAAGCCCACATTTCCATTAACATCTGTAGAAGTTTTTGTCTGTCCATGGCCCACATGTTGCTCCTGTGTACAGCCAGAAACCCTCTGGTTCTCATGTCAGGATTACGTTACACAAATGTCCCTTCAGGAAAGCTTTTGCTCTCCAACCAAAACTGCCCAGGACTCTGTATCAAACAGAGATCTTTCATTATCAGTTCTAAGACCACCTGCTTTAAAAACTCTGTAATGTGTCCCACAGTGTTCTGATACGAATAATGCTGCAGATGACTTGGTCCTCACATGTCAGCACTCCAAGAAACTCCCAAATATTTGCTTTGTGTAGTTATAAACACACTGTACCTTATGGGACAGAATGCTGCCACAGCCTCCTGCAGCCCCATAACCAAAATCTACTTGTTTCCCCTCTGTTCTGCACTGTTTCCTCCAAATATACTTAACTTCAAGCGATCTTTTTTGGGTTTGTTTGTTGAGATTTTATTTTAGAAACTTCTAAGAGTCACACCAGTGGAGGGAGGGCCTCAGTATTTGGGAAGTCCTACTGACCCTGGCTTAACGGGATGGGTTTTTTACATAGTAACAAGGAACCAAGTCAACGCGTCCTACAGAATGACCAAAACTGGACCTTTCCATGCACGCTGTTCACTTTTGGCCGGACGGGCACGGCAGCGTTCGCTCCTGCACCCCGTGGGAGGGCGCGTGCTCCCGCAGCTTCCCCGGGAGCTCCCCAGGACGGCTTCGGCTGAAGCGCTGGGAGCTGACCCGGGCGGTTCCTGTCCTGTCCCTGTGCACCTCTGCTCCCCGGGACGGCTTCGGTGTGATTTTGCACCGCCGGTAGCTGACCCGGACGGCGCCCGTCCCGCCTGAGGCGTTCGCGCCAACTCCGCGTTCCGCATCCCCCTGGAAAAGGGGGCGGGGCCGGCGGGGACGCACGGCGCGCGCGGGGCCGCCGGGAGTTGCAGTTCCTGAGCGCGCAAGGAACGCAGGCAACTCCATTTCCCGTCCGTCCTCGGGAGGCGGGGCGCAGGTGCGCGCGCGAGGCATGACGGGTATTGTAGTCCTCGCGCCGCGCCTCGGACATGCGGCAGGAGGAGGGCCGGGGGAGATAAAAACTACTACGATGGCGTTAGAAGAGGCTGCCGGGAGGGGGTACGGTGGCTCGAGAGGCCACACTGCGCTCGCGTCGGGGCGGCGGAGCACACGCGGAATCGGCGGAGCGAGTGCTGAGTCGGTGCCGCCGCCGGCTCCCCCCTCACCCGGGAGACGCTTCGGGGCCGCGGAGCCTTGTGGGGCCGCCACAAAATGGAGGCGAACGGGA